AAGTGTCGGTGTTGTGAAAGTGTGACTTTGTGACCGCAACAGAAAGACTAGATCTTCCGTTGCGACCATGTTATTATTTTCCCTCTGACTCTTAAGCGGAGTCTGAATCGTTAATTCCTTAAAACCAGACTGTTCGAAACAACCCTCAAGTTCCGGGAAAATCAGGCACGAATACACAGGGGTGTGAATTTGGAGGGTGTGAAAATAACGCGGACCATGGTGCAACTCCTCGGCAGGTGGCTGGCTGGCAACTGGCTGGCAGCAATTGTTCATGAGCAAATTCGGGGGCATCAGTCGAGCTTCACAAAGCAAACGAACATAGACGAACTTCACAATTTTTTCAAGCAAGCTCGAACATGTTCGGAATGAGATAAATATAAACAAAATTGGACCTTCGCTGGTAGAGAATCCCGGAAAGGTGCCAAGTTTGTTAATCTTTGAAGTGTGGTTTACTTAGAATGCTTTTAGACTACGGGTGGATTTCGGAAAAAAAAAAAACAGTTTTCATCGTTCTCGCGTGTTTTCGGATCTCTCCAGAATTTGCCACCAGTTTTCAAACAATTGGACAAGATTCAAAGCGAGCTGCACCAAGTCCATGATAGGCCAGAACAAGCACCATAAACCTTCTGCTACTACGTGAACTGTACTCGGCCCAGTGAATGTGCGCCGCCGATTTCCCCGGCGCTCAACCTGCAATTTGCGAGTGTCACTCTTTTTTGGAATAGTGCCCCAAAACGAAAATTTAGCCCTCGTCAGGACTGCACTCCACCCCGAAAAGCTGCACTATACAGTGTTCGATCCCTCGAAATCGGAAAACGCCAAACCCTGAATAGCGGTTTTGGGCAGTGGCAGGAAATTGATGGGGATTTGGGGAAAATACTCTACACGCGTTTTGAAACAGTCATATTGTTTTGAATACGCGTTTGGGTTGTCTCTTTCATCCAATCGAGCTGTAGTACTGTAAGCCAGGTGCTTGTTGATGCCCTTGTGCAACGACGCAATGATGCGTCTCCGTTCACCACTTGGGTGGGTCGGTGTGTTTGTGCACCAGATGCGACGAACGTTCCTACAGTGTGTACTAGTGTACAAGGAGGATACAGTACTCACTCGACTATGTGCAGTGCATTATTTGTGCTGCCCTGTGTGCAGTGTAGAAGTTATGAATGCCCGGATGTTTCGACAATCACCATTTTTCGGCACTGACCAGAACTTACAAGTGTGTGCATGACCTTCGTCGGCCGAAAAGGAGCCATTGTGTATCATGGAAGCTGCCAAGCCTGGCCCTTTTGCCAACGGGTGAAGTTTCAGCAAGTGAAAGATGGTTGCAGGTCATTTTACTGATCAACAGCCCATACTGTATCTGATTGCTTGGAGTACAGTACTCCCGCTTACAGTGAGAGGGGAGGCAGGGACGTGGGGAAAATGCGAGAAAAATCCGGATCTACTCCCCGAACCAGTCCGTCAAGAATCTAGACATACCTGATCCTATACGTAAAGAAACGGCGTACTCTTTTTATGTTTAGGGTTAAAGCCGCGGTGCAACTATCTTAGGAACAGTGACAAGCCGGGTTTTGTCTTGTTCCGTACTGGTAGTCAATTGGCTAGCGAGTTTCGCTTAAAGCCGCGGTGCAGATATCCGGGCTCCAGTTCAAACTATTATAGTTTGAAAGCCGCGTAACCCAGTATACACAGGAAAGCGAGCAGGGAGAGGTTTCTGCCAGCGGGGGAAGGGCGTGCGGAAAAGTCCTTCGCAGTATGATGTGTGTGGGGGGGAAACGGGGGAGGGCTCGGGGAAAAGCTCCGCTCAACGAGTTGAGGGGGAGCGCATGCAGCAAACTTGAAAATTCAAACTTGAACTCAAAACAACTCAAACTTGGCAAACTTTCACGCTTGAACTAGGTTCTTACTAACTTGAAGTGCGTTTTCCGAGCTACGCAGAGCCATTTCCGCTAAGATTTCTCGCGTTTCATGGTCTATTGATGTGCTCACGAATATCTGCGCAATTTCGTACCTCGTAAACACCTTTTTGTCGTATTCGAAGCGCATTGCGCTCGTTTTCCTCCGTTGCCGTCCTTATTCCTCTCCCGCCCCTCCATTCCTCACGTATCTGCAGTAGCAAAGGCGCAACGGTAGCGACAGGCAGGAATGGGTGCGACGGTGGCGAGCAGCGGGGCGACGATAGCTAGATATCGGTGGTCGCATATGAGCAGCGGGGCGACGATAGCGAGCGGTGCGGCGACGATAGCGAGCAGCGGGGCGACGATATGAGCAGCGGGGTGACGATAGCGAGCAGCAGGGCGACGATAGCGAGCACCAGGGCGACGATAGCGAGCACAAGGGCGACGATAGTGAGCATCAAGGCGACGATAGCGACAACCAGGGCGACGATAGCGAGCACCAGGGCGACGATAGCAAGCACCAGGGCGACGATAGCGAGCAGCGGGGCGAAGCATCTGTGCGACGGTGGCGAAGCATCTCGCGTCCCACCATGTCACCTCCCGGAATAATCCAATTTCCCCCTCTCCAATGCCTCCCCCTTTCCGATCCCTTGCCCGGTCCTCAGCATCAACTTCTCTTGGGCAGTGCCCTCCCTGTTTTCCTCTCCCTTTCCCCCTGTCCTCCTCTCCCTTTCCCCCTGTCCTCCTCTCCCTTTCCCCCTGTCCTCCTCTCCCTTTCCCCCTGTCCTCCTCTCCCTTTCCCCCTGTCCTCCTCTCCCTTTCCCTCTGTCCTCCTCTCCCTTTCCCCCTGTCCTCCTCTCCCTTTCCCCCTGTCCTCCTCTCCATTTCCCCCTGTCCTCCTCTCCATTTCCCCCTGACCTCCTCTCCCTTTCCCCCTGTCCTCCTCTCCCTTTCCCCCAGTCCTCCTCTCCATTTCCCCCTGTCCTTCTCTCCCTTTCCCCCTGTCCTTCCCTCCCACCTTTCCTCCCCCTCTCTCACATCCCTTCCCTTTCCTACTGTCCTCTCCCACCATTCACGCTTCTCTCAGCCATCCCTTTCCCCCCTCCCCTGCCCCTCGCCTTCCCCCACTACCGTCCCTTCCCTTTCCACTACGTTCTCTCGTCCAGCCCAGCCGACAGTACCGGCTTTGCTTGGCCACTGAAGGCTGTCTATCATATCTCAGTTTCCATGCTCTCTTCAATTTCCCTACCTAACATTCTTCAATAATGCGCAACGTTTCCTTCCCCTTTTCCCCTCCCCCCTCCTCCCTGTAAATGGACAGCTGCACCAATAGTGGATCGTAGTGTAAAAATCGGCTCTCCTTGGATTATGCCATGTTGTTTGCTTGCGATCCTTTGCATGATAAGGATTTCAATATGACATTCCAAGTCTTGCAGGTCTGTACATTTGATGTTCTTTCTCCCCATTATAAATAATACTCTTGCAAATGGATGGATAAATAAACCAAAATAAACCTTGTAAGTGAAATATGTATTTTGCAAAGCTTTTATGAAACATAAGGTTTATCGTTTTGCTATGTGGAGGTGTTATTGGCAGAACAATCAGCGAAAGGGAGTATGGGGGTGTTGATGTGGTCCCATTTCCCGTTTCGTGTGTGTTCCCCCCTTCCCTTCCCCCCACCCCTTCCCCCCCACTTTTCCTTTCGAGGTTCGCGACATTCGCCTTGGATGTTTTCATCGCAACACAACTTACACACTCGCTAGCCAATTGACTACCACTACGGAACAAGACAAAACCCGGCTTGTCACTGTTCCTAAGATAGTTGCACCGCGGCTTTAAGTGCCGAACAAGGTCCCACAAGGTCTGACTGTGGAGCTTGTGAACTGTGCATGAACATCACGCCACAACCGTGCGCAACACGTGGAAATATGTCACCAATCAAATCGACGAGAGATTTCCAGCCAGAATTTTTTTATAAGGAGGAAGCGTGAGGAGCGAATGTATGACTGCACAGCACACAGCACACGCCTTGGGGATAATGCAGCAACTGTGGACAACACATCGAAGAAACCCCACAGGTTTCACATGCTGTGATCACTGCTCCGTCGGTTATGTTTGTGTGTTTGTTTGGTGTTGTTTTTGTGTAAGCAATGGTATGGGTTGCTTGCTTTGTCACACGGATGGCACTTGATAGTTAGTGAAACATTGGATTTGTTGTCATCGTTTAGTCAAAATCCTTAGCACAAAAGCAGATTTCTGAAGCTTTGAAACCCTGGGCGGTCAGCACACGAGCTGAGACACGGACAGCCACAGGAACACCACATTCTGTTCTCCTCTCTTCCCGTTCCCGCACAAAGCTCTCATCACAGTATGATACTGTGAAGCTCCAGCGGAGCGACCCATCCGATCTTCCTGCCAAGGCTGCGAAACACAGTCACAAGTCACGAGTCTGTCATTGCTACAGCAGTGTAAACTCTACTAGAACAGTATTGCGTTCTAGACAAGCTCCTCTCGTAGGAGACGCACCGTGCGTTACTAGTAGTACTAACAACAGATCAACGATGAATATCACGAAATATCAACGAGGATGATTCTTCGTGACAAAGGCTGCGAAATTAGAATACGCTCGAGTCAGACACACGCGCTTCGCAACTCATCTTTAAAAAAATGTTCTGCCCCCGAATCTCACCTCCTGTCGAAAATGTTAACTTCTTAGTCCAAGTCTCAGGACAAACTTGAAGTGTTAAGGATACGGCTAGGTCATCTTTGGGTCACTTTTCTGAAGAACCTACCAGGATGTGACTTCCTGGATAGGACTCGGTGAAGAGATTCCGTCCTTCAAAATCATTCTTCAGATCTGTGAACATTTTGACTCCTAGCTCGTTCTACCGTTAGAACTTCTTTCTGAATCCGGAGATACTTTTCCGAGACACCGTATTTGACAATTTGAGGACAGCCTACTACTTGGGGACTCAAGGAATGTGACATATACTATATACTTAAAAAGAAACGGAATTATGTAAGTAGCCGCAACAAACCCCCACGAACCCTCCATCCCACCCCCTCAGCCTTCTCCCTTCGCATGGCACCAGTATAGTCACAATGGAACATGATCATGTGCACGAAAAGAGGCAGGCTGGAGAAAAGGAGGACGCATCAGGATTCCAGAGGCAGATAATCCAGCGAGAGCAGTTGCAACAAGTGCAGATCATGCCACCACGGGAGCAGTTGCCAAATCAGTTGCCACAACAGCAGATGAAAGAGCAGCAGATGAAGGAGCAGCCTAGACCGGAGCAGATGCAAGAGCAGCAGATGAATGAGCGGCAGAGACAGGAGCAGATGAAGGAGCAGCAGATGGAAGAGAAGCGGATGAAACAGAAACAAATGCCACAGCAGCACATGATGAAACATAGGCGAATGGAACAGGAGCAGATGCAACCACAGCAGACGCAACAGCAACAGAGGCAGCAGCGGCAAATGGAAAGGCCACAGATGCAACAGAAGAAGATGCAAGGGCAGCCGATGCCACAGAATCAGACACGACAGCAGCAGATGCAACAACAGGAGATGCCACAGCAGTTGCCACAGCCTTATACAGCACTGCTACAGTCATACTTACCGCAAGCAGTAGCACAAGATGAGACTGCAGCTGGTGCAGGCCCATCAGAGTCTGGAGCCAGACGCATATTGACGCGCAACAGAGATTACAGCCAGCATGGGAAGTATCGAGGAGTGAGGAAGCGTGGAGCGTCTGGCTACGTTGCGGAGATCAAGGACACGACTCGTGGCTTCCGCAAGTGGTTGGGCACGTTCAGTTCTGCAGAAGAGGCAGCTCGGGCGTTCGACAAAGCTGCTTTCGGTATCCGAGGATCAAAGGCGAAGCTTAACTTTCCGGAAGCTTTTCTCCAGGAAAGGGGAGCAGTGGGTTCCAATCCTGTAGATCCAGAAGCACCGGTTCAGATGGAAGCCGCAGGAATGGAGGGAGGTAAAGTTGGTGACAAACATGGCCCGAGAGTGCCGTATATTCGGGCATCTAAAGGACAAGTTGGAAAGGGCAGTTCTACGAGCTCTGAAGAGGAAGCTAAAGAAGTAGAACAAACTGAAGGTGCTGCGGAAGGGCGATCGGTGGGAGTGGATGCGGTCAAGAAAATATCGTTTGGAGAGGGGACACGTAGGGCCGCAGTGGCAGCGGCTGGAACTGAATCAGGTAGAAAATCAGGGGCTGTAGGTTCTGCGCCAGTTGGTGAAGCAGCAGGAGGGGGAGACGGTGATGGAGGAGAGGAGGGAGGGGGAGGAGGGGGAGGAGGGGGAGGAGGACGAGGAGGAGGAGGAGGAGGAGGAGGAGGAGGAGGAGGAGGAGGAGGAGGAGGGGTAGGAGGAGGAGGAGGAGGAGGAGGAGGAGGAGGAGGAGGAGGAGGAGGAGGAGGAGGAGGAGGAGGAGGAGGAGGAGGAGGAGGAGGGGTAGGAGGGGTAGGAGGGGTAGGAGGGGTATGGGTAGCAGTAGACGCGTCAGCAGTAGCAGTACCAGCATACCCCCTTGAAAGAAGCTGCACTGTCAGTACCAGCAGCTCCAGCGGAACCGCCCCTTTCTCCTCTGCCCCATCCACCTCTTCCGCCTTTGCCCCTTCCACCCCAGCCTTTTTCTTACACTCCAGCTTTCCGGATTCCTCTGCTTACTCCACATCTACCTCTTTCCTTCACTCCGCCCTTCCTGCTACTGCTTTCCAATACCCCTCTTCTTCTTTCCTAGAATCCGCCCTTCCTGCTTTCTCTTCACATTGGCCCTCTTCCTTTTCCCCACACTCCACCATTCGTGCAATCTCTTCCCCTGAAGCTGCACTTACCACTCTTCCTCTCCATGTCATGCTTCCGTCTTATCCTGGTGTACTGCAAACCTCAGCTGTCACACCTTTCCCATGTGGTGATACCATGGGTCGCTTTCCTATCCCGCAGCAGAATTCACCATGTGCTGGAACTGGTGGTACAGGTCTGCTGGGCTTTGGTGTGCCAGGATCAGGTACAGTCAGGATCAGAGGGTTGGGAATTGAGGGCGTGGCAGCAGATGCGGAGCGGTCCTATGCGTGTGCGGAGCGGTTTGTTCAGCAGCTGGTGAAGGTTGAAGAAGCAAATGGGGCTGGAGTGAGTGGGGTTCGTGCTACAGAACAGAAGCAGGAAGCGGAAGAAGCGGAAATTTCTACTGGGGAAGGAAACAGTGGAAGAAGACATATTGTTGACAAGAATGGGATGATGGAGGAGGAGGAGGTAGAGGAGGTTGTGATGAAGATGAGGACGAGAATAGATGAGCATTTTGCGTGCCTTGTTTCTCGTTGTGATTGTGTGGCAACAGTGGCAGGAATGGAGGCAGCTGATCAATGCTATCAGTTGCCTCGAAGCCATCACTCACAGGCGCAGCAGCTAAACCAAGAGGCAGAAAAGAAGACGAAGCAGCAGCATCTGCAGTCAGTACTGCAGCAGCAGTTGCATTTACAGGAGACACAGCAGCAGCAGCAGCAGCAGCAGCAGCAGCAGCAGCAGCAGCAGCAGCAGCAGCAGCAGCAGCAGCAGCAGCAGCAGCAGCAGCAGCAGCAGCAGCAGCATCAGCAGCAGCAGCATCAGCAGCAGCAGCAGCAGCAGCAGCAGCAGCAGCAGCAGCAGCAGCAGCAGCAGCAGCAGCAGCAGCAGCAGCAGCAGCAGCAGCAGCAGGATCAGCAGCAGGAGCAGGATCAGGAGGAGGAGGAGCAGCAGCAGCAGGGGGAACAGCAGCGCCTTGTGACAAGCATCTCGCAATGGATTTCTCTACGAGTGAAGGCTGGAAGGACGGGCAAAGCAGCTGCACGACGTGCTTCAGTCGACCTCACAGCTCAACCTCCCCTCAACGAGGAGAGTGCGGACCAGCAGACCTTTAGGAGCCACACCCCGGACTTGGAAAGAGATTACACAACGTCCAAGATTACCAGCCCTCCTTGGTCCGGGCCTCAACCCAAGCCTCGTTCCGAACCTGCATCTTGTATGGTCCGAAGCCGTAGCGTCTCTTTCCTCCTGGAACAAAAAGCCGCCAGTGCTGGAACCCCGTATTCTCAGCCCTGCATGGACATCACAGGTGGTGTGGCTGGTGTGGTCGGTGCAAGTCATGATATCACAGGTGGTGTGGCTGGTGTGATCGGTCCAAGTCGTGATATCACAGGTGGTGTGGGTGGTGTGATCGGTGCAAGTCGTGACATCACAGGTGGTGTGCGTGGTGTGATCAGTGCAAGTCGTGACATCACACGTGGTGTGTGTGGTGTGATCAGTGCAAGTCGTGACATCACAGGTGGTGTGGGTGGTGTGATCGGTGCAAGTCGTGCTCATGTTGCTTGTGGTTCGGGTGCTGCGGGTCCTATGATTGGTGTATCTGCTGCAGATGCAAGTATGGCGAGTGGACATAGCAGCCCGGCGACTGCTGCCATCGCTGCCGCTGCTCCCTGTGTTGCCACTGCTGCCAGTGTTCCCAAAGTTGCTGGTATTGCCGGTGCTTCTGGTTTTGCTGGTGCTGCCGGTTTTGCTGGTGCTGCTGGTTTTGCTGGTGCTGCCGGTTTTGCCGGTGCTGCTGGTGTTGCCGGTGCTGCTGGTGTTGCCGGTGCTGCTAGTGGTTCCGGTGATACTGTTATGGTCGGGTTTGCATCCACCCCAACCGGCTCTCTCAAAGATGATCCGACTCGCTTCCTGCACAGGGTCAGGAGATCACGGTCACATGAACGGGGGGCAATGGGAGCAGGACTGCTGGACAAGGCAATGTTGCATGCACCAGCATACCAACAACGGGTGGCAGACATAATTTACGGCGAAGGGCTACCAAATCATTTTGAAGAGCAGACAGGGAGGCGTGCTAGCAGGCATGTGCCTTACGAGTCACCACAAAAACCACCTAGAAGGTATGGACACTGCACCCCGCATCAGCTGCTTAAGCAGGGAGATTTGGAGGGGCAGCAGAAGCTGTGGCTGGACGAAATGCAGTTGGCACAGCAGCAGCAGCAGCAGCAACTTCATCGGCAGCAGGATTTACACTCAGTACTTCCGCAGCAGTTGTATTCAATGCATCAACAAGAGCAGCAACAGCAGCAGCATCACCAGCAGAAGCGTAAGCAGCACCAGCTTCCACAGTCAGTGCTGCAGCAACAGTTGCAGTTAATGCAGCAACAAGAGCAGCAGCAGCAGCAGCAGCAGCAGCAGCAGCAACAGCAGCAGCAGCAGCAGCAGCAGCAGCAGCAACAGCAATGGCCACTCTCACCCTTCCAGCAAGCCCTCCCGTCCTGCATACTGTCTCGCCCTCCCATAACACTACCTCAATCTGCTCAAAAGTCACCTCTCCTACAGCCTCTTGTCCCCATTGATTCTGCTTATCTCACCTCCGCTGCTGTAGCCACTGCTGACGGTATTGCTGCCAGCGCTGCTGCTGGCTCTTCTACTGCTGCCCGGGCTGAGGCAGCAGCCCTCACTCCCCCCTTCTCTCCTACCACCCTCTTCCACTGTACTTCCAGATTTCCTGGATCTAGCTATTCACAGGCAGGCGCTATTGAAGCAGCTATTGAAGCCTTGGGGCGGGATGGCTCTAGGAGAGTTTTTGAGTCGACTAAAAAACCGACTCATCACATGCGGATTGAAGCAGCTATTGAAGCCTTGGGGCGGGATGCCTCTAGGAGAATCGACGGCTCTGAAACCGGCGGTACTGGCCGCAGTGGTGGGGATGTGCTCATGCAGGAATTCACAGCAGCAAACTTTGGGGCTGCGTGTATTGGTGGTGGTGGTGGTGGTGGTGGTGGTGGTGGTGGTGGTGGTGGTGGTGGTGGTGGTGGTGGTGGTGGTGGTGGTGGTGGTGGTGGTGGTGGTGGTGGTGGTGGTGGTGGTGGTGGTGGTGGTGGTGGTGGTGGTGGTGGTGGTGGTGGTGGTGGTGGTGGTGGTGGTGGTGGTGGTGGTGGTGGTGGTGGTGGTGGTGGTGGTGGTGGTGGTGGTGGTGGTGGTGGTGGTGGTGGTGGTGGTGGTGGTGGTGGTGGTGGTGGTGGTGGTGGTGGTGGTGGTGGTGGTGGGGATGTGCTCATGCAGGAAGTCACAGCAGCAATCTTTGGGGCTGCCTACTGTGGTGGTGGTGGTGGTGCAGAGCATTCTACCGCGGAGCGCCATATTGAGGAACAGCATTGCGCGGAGCAGCATTGTGAGGGGCAGCCTAGTAAGGACCAGCCTAGTGGGGAGCAGACTAATGCGGACCAGGATTGTGAGTGCCAGCCATTTGCAGGCCAGCCCAAGAAGGAAAAACCCTGTGAAAATGAGTTGTGTTCTGTCCAGCCTAGTGCTGACCAGCTGTTTTCTGCCCAGCAGTGTGTTATGGCAGATTTGAGCCTTCCTCTTTCTCAACCCTCAGAAGATTTGAGGCTTCCGGACAGCATGTACCACACATCGTCCGCTGCCGCAGACATCACCACCCCATTCTCTCATATCAACAGAACAGCCTGTTTCGGTTTTGAGAACTACACCAGTGCTGTCCCTTTCATGGATCATTTGCGAGCAAGGGGTATATATTCCGATGTTGGTGGAGGGGCTATGGATGTGGGAATGTCAGCGGACACTGCAGAAAATACCCGGCATTTGGCTGCGGGTGGCACTGATGCTGGGGTCTTCACCATTGATCGGCTTGAGTCGTTGCTGATGGATACTGGGGAGCATCAGAAACAAGATTAGTGGCGTAAAACATGCAATATTTCTAAGGGAGCCATGGCTGTTCATTTCATCCATAGGAGAATTGGTTATGGACACATGAGATGGGACTTGCGAGTTGGAGGACGGGATTCCTGGATCTGGAGCTGGGAACTGGAGGAGGAGACAGGATATGAGGGACAAGGGACGTGGTAAGAAGGAAGATTGAATGATGGCTTGGAGTCAGCGTGACTCATAGAAGCTTGGAAGCTTGCAGGAAAAATTGGAAGCCATATTTGAAGCATGTGAAGACTCATTAGGGCGATTGGGAATTTACAAGGATCACTGGAGATAACTTAGGTGCTTAAACGTCTTCATTTGAAACTTGCAGGGACAGATCTGTTGTGATATCTGCAGATTCGTCTGGTCTTTACTCCACAGATTGCCCGTCTACGTCCTTAGCTTCACTCTGGCGCCATACTCTCTTGCTCGCACTCTCCCACCATGCCTCCCTACCTCCCTTACTCTCACACTGCATATGTCTCCCTCGCTTCAAGGCACCTTTCCCTCCCCATTTTTCCAGTCTCCCTTCCACCCTTCCTCCCTAGCTCCCTTCCTCTCTACCGCCTTCAGCCCGTATGCCTTTCCAGCCTTCCATACACCCTTTGTCTCTACATCCCTAGCTCTCTTCCACTCTTCTTACCTTTCCACCAAGCTCCTAGCGTGCTTTCTTTCAAACTCCTTTCCACCCTTCCCCTCATCCGCTGTAATCCTTTTTTCCCCCCTCTCTCCACTTCTCCATTCCTCCTCTCCAGCCTCCACTCCACCCATATTCTCTTCCACCCTTCCTATCTTCTTCTCTTAAGTCCTTTCATGCCTCCCTTCCTAGCCTTCTTGGGTTCTTCTCGTCCTCTGGTTTGCTAGCCACTTTCACCCAAACCTCCATCTTTTGTTCTTCACGTCTCCCCTCTCATTATTTCATCCTCCTGTCTTCATTCCTCGCAAGGGTCAAGCGCAACATATGTTATCGGAGGTCTCAGCACCCTAGGAGCCAGCATCCAAGCGTTAGAGCCAACTGTGCGAGCGTGCAGGCAATAGTGTCATTATATATATACGCCTTTTCTCAATATACAAAATTCTTCATGTGGTGGACGAGTGGATGATACGGTGGAAAGAATGCGTCATTTTTATCCAATAAAGTTAAATTATCACCGTGTTTTGCAACTCGCGAGCCAAAGCCTAGGCGCAGAACGAAGAAGCATGATTGAAGATAACTTAGTGTGTATTGATGATAATTCTTATATTCACAACTTGTTCTTATTACTGTTAGTTTCATTTGTGTGCTAAACTGCAACCCTAGTTTTCGGGAGGGGATGCCGCCGCATTGTACGGTGTCGGGGTGGTATGCACGTGTCGTCTTCAAACAGAGTCAATTGTGGCCGCTGACATCTGTCAACGACAGCCTGTGTTTAGCATCCCCTGAAGTACGCGCAGGAGAAACTCAGAAACCCTGGGCAGGAAAGTAAAAATTTGGAGTACGCGCTGGCTTCCGCGCAAAGTCGACCCTTTATTGACCTGAACCGAAGCTCCAACCCTCCTTGGGTTTCGCTCCTATATTTCCGGCCAAAAAGCTGTGGTTCACCCTTGGGACCTTGAAATATGTACGCAACAACCCTAGAGTCGGAACAAGGGTAACGAGGACTGAGATCGGTGCTGGTTGTTGAATATTTTGAAGCTTGAAGTGTCGGTCTGTAGCCGGGCAGGCAACCGCGAGGTTTAAATGGTGGGTGTTGGTGGGGAGGGCCACCGCAAAGGGGTGCGCCAAATCGCGAATTGCGAATCGCGATGCGTGTTGTGCACTTCCTGCTGCTTGCGAAATCCAAACAATCCCCGCCCTGCCCCCGCATACACACACCCTCCACCACACCACATCACATCTCAATATTCCTCGCCGATGTCGAAGGGGTCACCATGTGGTAGTTGGGAGAGTGGAGCTGAACCATTCGGGCTCGCGTATGCGTCTTCTGTCGTTTCCTAATGTCAATGCCGCCGCAGCACCCCCTTTGCCGCCATGTCTACCGTTGACGTGTGATTAGCTCTGCGACGAAGGAGGGCCCAAACAAAAGAGTTTCGATCCCGTTGCGGTTTCTGGTTATGCCAGCCTGAGGCTAAGGGTTGCTCCAGAAGGGATATCGAGAACATGTTTTCATCCCAAATGTAACACGTAGCTTTTGGAGCTTTGAGGGAACACGTCCTCGAATCCTCCTCGACTTCAACAACTTCCAGAAAACAGCTATAAAAAATGCATGTGAGAACCAACTTTTCCATCAGTTCCAGTTAGAACCGAAGCAAGCTTCTTGTTCCGTAATAGCCAGCACGCTTCTCCCTGATCCAACAACGTCCCTCATTCATCCCGGAAGGTTAGATCTTCTCTAAAGCACCATGATGACGCGGCGCCCGCTTTTCGTCATCGTCCTCCTCTCTCTTGTCGCTGTGTCAGCTGCGCTTGAAGGCGTGTCCAAGGCCGAGCTGATCAGCGAGGTCAAGAAACTCAAGACCGCCCTGTCCAATATCGGGTACCTGGGGAGATATGCCGCGATCGCCGCTGCACTTGAGAAGGCCATGCCCTCATTGGGTAAGTCGGTTGCCGCAGGCCTAAAAAAAAACTTGCACGAAGTCGATTTCGCACAGGATTTTTTTGCTGACGAATGATTTTCCAACCTGACAAATGACAAATATATTTGTTCCTAATTTGCATGTATATTTCCCACCTCCAACTATGCTACCCCGTTTCAGAGACCATGAACGAGAACGATCCAAGGTGGGCCAATTTTTACTAGACTACCATTCTCGTCCCGTCCAACTTGGCACTTGGCATGGGGGGCCTTGGCTCGCTCACCGGCGGGGGGTCGAAGAAGCTCGAAAAAATCGGCAAGATGAATGTCCTTAACGGGATCTTCACTTATGGTGGTCTTATCCGCAACAAGCGATTCCCTACCAAGCTGGGCCGCGAATTGAGGAAGTACAAGGTGCCCATGTTTATGAAGAAGGGATCAGAGATTGCGCTCGGGCAGTCTAAGAATGTTCTGTCTGCAGGGATAGCATTCCAGCCCGCTAACCGACTGGGATAAAAGGGCATGTTTCCTTGGTGGGTCAGCGCACCCATACCCCCCCAGGACGACACCTGTAGCCCTTGGGGAGACCACTTCGGGCCATTCCAGTGTCCACTTCCAACACTCCCCTCACTGGGAGGGCCCACCACTAGGGCACAGGAAGTCGCCAACAGCAGGAATCGAACCCCGGTCCTCCACGCTCACCGCACCATGCAGGGATAGCACTCCAGTCCGCTAACCAACTTGGTTAAAAGGGCATGTTTCCATAGTGGGTCAGCGCACCCATACCCCCCCAGGACGACACCTGTAGCCCTTAGGGAGACCACTTTGGGCCATTCCAGTGTCCACTTCCAACACTCCCCTCACTGGGAGGGCCCACCACTAGGGCACAGGAAGTCGCCAACAACAGGAATCGAATCCCGGTCCTCCACGCTCACCGCACCATGCAGGGATAGCATTCCAGCCCGCTAACCGACTGGGTTAAAAGGGCATGTTTCCATAGTGGGTCAGCGCACCCATACCCCCCCAGGACGACACCTGTAGCCCTTAGGGAGACCACTTTGGGCCATTCCAGTGTCCACTTCCAACACTCCCCTCACTGGGAGGGCCCACCACTAGGGCACAGGAAGTCGCCAACAACAGGAATCGAACCCCGGTCCTCCACGCTCACCGCACCATGCAGGAATATATTAGAGAGCGTAGCGATAGCGAGAGAGTCTCTGTTATGGGAATGATGTTGCGCCAGCAACTTGGTAGAGTTTTGGTAGCGTTTGCCTCTAAGGACTTTGTGAGAATTGAAGTAGCATTTGGGCCAAGTAGAATTGCAATATCAATTATCAAACACACAAGCAAACACAAACATATATAGGCAAGCAAGAGTTGCACAATTGTTGCGTGGCGCTGCGAGTAACCCAACCCACACGAAAGTGCTGTGCAGGTGGGTGAACGCGCCCCGCACATTTCCAACCCAACTCGGCACCGGAATGTCTCACCGTGCACGCTACTCCTGCCAACACAGCAAGTGAGCAGCGTGCCTCACAAGCAAGGCACCTACGACCCCCAAGACTCGTCATTCCTAGCACCGATTCCGCCGAGTTCGCTGCAGTAGCTCACAGTCACCCGTAGTCACTAATGACCGCCACCGAACTCGTGCGTCGGTGCCGAGTAGACTCAGTCGTTAGGCGCCGACCTGCCAAGTCAAAGGTCATCGAGGGCCCTTGCTGTCGTAGGGCCCTCTAACACTGTCGTGGTCGCAAATTCTGAACCCCGGGATTTACGTAGGTAAGTACTTCGTTGTTCACGGTGTTGACGCCCTCCAGAAGCCATGAAGCCCCACCTGGATGACCGTAACCATAGCAGACTTGCTTGCCGCATGTCTGATGCCAACGTAGAATATTTCTCGGGGGGGAGAGGGGGTTGGAATGGCTGGCTAGCTGGCAGGGGAGAGGAAGGGTTTGTTTAGTTGTTCTGTCTAGGGTTTATTGTTTATAGCTATCATCCGTTATGTAGTAACTTGCACCATGACTTATGGTCCTATTTATTTTAATGAGGTTTCACACACACACACACACATACACACACACACACACACACACACACACACACACACACACACACACACACACACACACACACACACACACATGTGTGGACGCATGGCCCTTCCCACCGCTGCAAGCCCCAACCTCACTCGTCTCTATGTCATGCCTACATATGCCTCACCTCAACTTCAGCTGCACCCACCTCTACTGCACACCCTGCTGTTGCACTTTACTCCTCTCAGTCCGTAACCAGCCAGGGGAATGTGTTCCCAGGCAATGAATAAACTCCTCTTCAGCCTCTGTTGTGCATTTGTTGTGGATGCCCTCTTTCCAGTGCGCTCTGCAGTCGGTCTTTCTGTCTTACAGTATTAAACATCTCATGGGTCAGCCGGCATACCATCAAGGTCTGTGTGACCGACGCCAGGCGTAGGCCAAGACCGGAATGTGTGCCTACCAGACTGCTCATTAAAAGTCAATGCAGCGGGCAATGGCTATTATTCAACTGGGTCACAGACAACACTCGTGCATTTCGTGCAGAACAATCAGGGAATAGCAGTGCGCCTAGCCTGAGGGTTGTGAGCATCTAATAGGACGTGCTGAGAAGCTGGGCGATACTTGTAGTGTTGAAACGAGTATTCTAGAGGCGCCAATGTGACACCATGGCCTACGAGGTGGTCGGATCCCTGGTGAGAGGCTTGCACTTCTGCAGCTCTATAGCGACCTGGAGTGGGGGGAGCAGACCATAAGAGAGAGAGAGAGAATTCGCGTTAGTACGTTTCAACACAAATGCATTTGCATGAGGTGGTCGGGTTCCTGGTGAGAGGCTTGCACTTCTGCAGCTCTATGGACCTGGCGATGGGGGGAGCAGACCACAGAGCACAACAGCAACACAGACCATGTGGTTGGTACACCCGAGAATGCATATATGATACATCTTGAAATGCAATAACCACCAGTTTGGATGTAGCTGGAGGGGCTGGAAAATGCCAAGGTGGGAAGAGTGAGGTGGGTGGGCTACGTGAGAAATGTGAGACGAGGGTGGCGTGGAAGCAGCAGGGAAGAAGTCGTTTTTGAGTATTCTCAGAAGTGGGTCGTCAATGTGACAGATGAGTTATGAAGGTGACGCGGAAACAGCAGGGAAGAGGCAGCACGAAGATACTTTGTACAGTGCAACAAAAAAAGGGGCTGCTTGTCAAAAGAACTGGCACCGTGCAACAAGTAGGGTTACTGTACTCTCTTCACTCAGATGCCTTGTGATGCAAAGTGCGAGAGATGGGATTCACTTTGTTACCAGTATCGCAACAAACGTATGTCAGCCGCTGACATGGCCAGGGAGTAAGTTGCTCACCTTGAGATACGACGGATGTGTCCCGATTGCAGCCATGACCTGCACACACCGAGTCAGGAAGAGGGTAGTAATGGGAAGGGAGAAAGAGAGAAAAGGAGGAAAACTGATGGCGAGAAAGGGGTAGGGGAGTGGAGGACGAGGTGGGGGACGTGGATTGCTATTTGTGCTCCTCTGGTGACCCTCTCCTGTCCGTTTTCCCCAGCTCCTATCCCCTCACACTGTGTCTGATCCTCCATTTGTCCTTCACTCACTCCTCAAATCAACCCCACTCATCCCCGCCTCATCTCGAGTCCCCAGTTTACCAATTACACCCGTTCAGTTAGGCAAATCCGTCACTGTAACTCCGTACCGTGTCAAACTTCTCGCCGCGAACGTTGAACCGTACGATCCGCATGCCCTTCTTCACGACGACGCCGCCGTACGAATCGCTGTCGTCGAACACGATCGCACTCGTCGCAATCAGCTGGTCGCCCGCGTCGACAAGCCCCGTCGCCTCCGCGTTCCCCCCTTGCGCAACCTCCGCCACGAAAATCCCCCCCGCGCGCTCCTCCAGGACCAGCCCTAGCGGGCGCGCGAGCTCGATTTTGATCCGCGAGCACCCCGGCGGCGGGACGTCCGCGGAGTCGTCTTCTGTGGAGGCGGTTTCCGCCGCGACCGCGGCTACTTGCCGCGCGGGCCTTTGCGGAAGGCGTTGGTGCGGGGAAGCGACGGAGGGAGGCTTGGCGGAAAAGGAGGGGCGATGGGGAGCGAGAAAGATAACTGGGGGTTGGGCGGGGGTTACGGGCGGAAAATTGGGAGGAGGGGAGCGGGGAGGTGGGGAGGGGGATGAGAGAAGTATGAGCGTTTGAAGAGGAGGGGATGAATATGAGAAGTTGGAGGACGTCTTTTGCGTTAATCTTTTCACGGAAATGTATTGCACAAAACAGTATAACGGTGACAAGCTGAAATTGCATCACCGATCGTAGGTTGAGGCGTCTCGAATGACGTCATCTGACACACTGTCTACCACCGACAGCCAATGACAATCGATGGCGACACCTACTTTGCACTGGAGATAACGGATAGTGTGCATGGGTGAACCCCAGGGGGGTCGCTGATCCCTGCGTGGTCATGCCTTCTTTACTACATGTGTGTGCGTGCGCATTCTTTAACCTTTTTATCGGATAGAATAAGCGATGGCTGCAGACGCCTCACCTGAGTTTGCTTTGGAGACGACGGTCGTAGAGATTCGAGCCGCCTCGGGAGCCATCAGTCCGAACGACACGCCATTGGACGACACTGTGGCGAGCGCCATGCTGCGGAGATATCTGACGGAGGAGGAGAGAGGCTGAGCGGTGCTGGATGCAGATCAGATTTCTTCCGGCCAGCGATCGAGGTGAAGGTACAAGAAAGAGTCGACCGAGCTGCAATGATATGTCAGGGCGAGTAATGAAACAAGTGATGATGAAACTGGTGAAACTAACGATGATTGGAACTTGCTTTCAGTACTAGAGGGCCAGTCGGGAATATCTGTGCTTTGAAGCTTTCAGGATTTCAAGGGAGTTTCTACTCAATGCGGGATCACACACGATTCAGTACTACTTTTGACGATGACTAATGGGAGGCTGCAGACGCAAGGTAGGAATGCTTTCCGAAATCACACTTAGCATCAATGTGCGATTAGGTAAGAGTGGCCAGATTTTGTGGGAAAAGTGGAGAGCTGAATGAGCCCTCGTCCGTGAATCTGCGACTCGCCACGGAGTGCATGTGTGTGGAGCGCCAGACGGCTGCCACGACGCGCTGGTCACGCTTTTCACGTGCGGTTGACAACGAGGGGCATGACACATGGCACTGCGTACTCAACATCTCGATATTCTCGAGTGTCTGATCTAAGTAATTTTCCAGCTTCGAGGGAGCGCACATCCACCTCATCTTGAGATATATTTGCTACACTCAAGTAGAACTTCACTAAAAGTCACTTTACGCTCCCCATCCACAACGATCCATACTCACCAAGAAAAGCATAGACAAAATGACTTTTTGTAGGTCCACATGCACCTACCCATCCTCTGATCCAAAAGCCGAACGAAGTGCGTCACAGACTAGTTCCATGCGCAGTCCTCGGCTCCCCTTCACCAGCACCACATCTCCCGACCGTATCAAACCTATATTCACTGCTCCTTTAGGTGCTTCAAGAAGAGACTTTGCAACGCGGGCAGACGATTCAACGGCCTCTGCGAGGTCTTGTGCTGAATTAAAAGCATGCACATTTACACGCCTCCCCCCACCATCTTCCAAACAGCAATGCAGACAACCACTTTTCCCCTCTCCAGCGCTGCTATCTCCTTCATTACTGTGGTTCCCATCCCCTCCCCTCGCTCCCTCCCCTGCACCTCCCCTCGTTCTTCCCTCCACCATCTTCCCCAGGGCGGACTTGAACTCCTCGCCAGCTATCAGGACGAGAGAGATTCCCGAGAGGGAGAGGCAGAGCGAGAGCGCGTCCACATGTGCGCTCTCTGACTGGCTGCCCAGCTCCAGCATGTCGCCCAGCACCGCCACGTGGCGGCCTGAGACTGGTGGAAAGGAGGCGGCGGGTGCGGAGGAAGAGTAGGTGGAGGAGGAGGCAGTTGATTCCAGTGAGAGCTGATGCAGAAGGTGAAGAGCCGAAGCAACACTGATTGGATTGGCGTTATAAGCATCATTCAGTACAGTCACACCGTTTCCCTCGTGTCCAGCTCCCTTCCCTTCGCTCCTCTCGCCCTCCTCTCCCGCCGCTCCTCTCCTCCGAATCCGTTCGACCCGCATCCTCATCCCAACAGGCTCGTATCGCGCCATGTGTCGCACTGCCATTGGCAGAGGCACGCCTGCCGCCACCGCCACGGCTGCTGCAGCAAGGGCGTTGTCAGCCAGATGCAACCCGGGGCTGTTGATTCGCACACACACCGTTTTGTCGGCATCACTCTCATCCCCATGCAGACACCCTGTGCCCTCATCGTCTCTATCACCATACAGATGCATAGTTCCATCACTCAGTGCACTGCTGCTGGGAACAGCACTCTCTTTCTCCTCCTCCTGCTCGCCGCAACGCAAGGCCATAGTCACTCCTGCCTCTGCTGCTGCTCCTCCTCCTGTGCAAGGCAGGTTGTTGCGAATGGCAGCTTCAACTGCCATGCCGCCATCCACTGCGCGCGCCCACAGCAGCTGCACATCGCAGGCGGGTGAGCGACCAAATGTGATCTGCGGGGACACGCGGGTGGGTGGAAGGGGGTGGGAGGGAGGAATAAGGCGTGGCAGGAGTGCGACTGCTCCTCCTCCTCCTCCTGTGCGTGCCAGGTTGCAATGCTTCAACTGCCATGCCACCATCCACAGCCCACGCCCACAGCAGCTGCACGTCACTGGTGGGGAGCGCCCAAAGGTGATGTGTAAAGACACGCGTGTGCAAGGGGTTGGGAGGAGGATAGGATCAGGATTCAGAGAGTTCAGTTTCAGTTGGGGAATTCTATTGAGGCGCCTTTTGAGGCGACATTTGAGGCAACTTTTGAGGCGCCTCAAGAGTAGGCTTCAGAGAATTCAGTTGCAATCGGTATTTGTACAGATTGGTTTGGAGAGCATGTGAGAGGCCCTTCTTTGGTTTGGAGAGCATGTGAGAGGCCCTTCTTTGGTTTGGAGAGCATGTGAGAGGCCCTTCTTTGGTTTGGAGAGCATGTGAGAGGCCTTTTTCAAACAAACGCACCCAGCCCTCTCCGGCCTTCTCATTGCCGGCCAGTACACTTGAAACCACATTCGTACGAACGCACTCACCAGTCTCACTCCTGCCACATCCAGAAACCCCATAACTCGACTGCCGTCCCTTTTCACCGCGCACACGTCTCCCTCCCTCGTTCCCCCTTGGCCTCTGCTATTTCCTCCAAAGGCCCCAACAAGGGGTCTCCGATGCGTGCGGGGAGGGGTGAGTAGGTGGGGAGGGACGACCCGTCTCACCCCTGTCACAACCGGCAGCCTCATTACAAGCCTGTCGTCCCCATTCACCACGCACACGTCTCCTGGCCGCGCATCCGCTAGCATCTCCCCCTTGGCCTCTGCTATGGCCTCCAAAGACCCGAGTGTGGGGTCGCCGATGTGAGCGGGGCCGACGTTGAGCAGCAGGCGGATGGAGGGAGCGGCGATGGCGGAGAGGTGGGCGATTTCGCCTCGTGCACTCATTCCCATCTCCACCACACACGCTGCTGCGGACTGAGGGAGCGCTGGGATTAGGAAGAGAGTGCGGGACAGAGAAAGAGGGGGATAGATGGGAGGGGGGAAAGGGAGGAGGAGACGAAGGGCGTGAGGTGAGGAGGACCCTGCTTGTGTCTTGCTAGGCAGGTGTGCACGGGGCCGACGTTGAGCAGCACGCGGATGGAGGGAGCGGCGATGGCGGAGAGGAGGGCGATTTCCCCTCGAGCACTCATTCCCATCTCTACCACACACACTGCTGATGCCTGGGGCTGGGGAAGGGCTGATAGCGGGTTCAAAGGGGGTGTGCAGTGCAGGATAGGGCAGGGGAGAAGAGGGGGGGGACAGCATATTTAACCAGGCATCAAAACTGACAATTTAACAGGAAACAGGCGAACAAAAACAATGCATGCCTCGAACATGCGACACGAGCGTCACCCACCCCGCCATCATTTGCACGTACCTAAGAGAGTGAGCGGCACTCCAATGTGGTTGTTCAGATTGCCCTGGGTCTGCACACAGCAGGTGTGGGGCCACGGGGACACACAGGTGTGGAATGGGGGATGCCATGGGAAGACATGGAAGCAATGGAATGTAAGAAATGATGGGAGTCATGGAAAGAAAGGGCTTCTGAGCCCACTGCTCTCACTTCTGAGAGTTCTCAAAAGAGACACCACCCAGAAGACCCTTTTGAGAGCCCCCACCATACTCCACCCCATTTCCCCCTCCCTCCAATGCACCGGGTGCACAGCCCCCAGAGGCGACAGCTCCAAGCCACCTGGTGCCCCCCCACCCCATTCCACCCCATTCCACCCCATTCCACCATGCAGCACCCACCTGGTGCACAGCCCCCAGGGGCGAGAGCGCGAGGGCAGTTAAGGCCCGTGCCGTGGTCTTCCCCACGCTGCCTGTCACCCCCACCACCACGCCGCCGAACCTCCGCCGAGCCTCCCTCGCCAAGCCTTGCAGCGCGCCGAGCGTGTCTGGCACCACCACCAACCCGCCCTGCCATCCCTCTGGCAGCAGGTTCGGAGGCACGTTTGATTCCCCTGCTCCGTTTTCACCTCTTAACCCCTCTTCACCCCTCGCCACACCTTTCTCCCTTGCATCCTTCCCTCTTAACCCCTCTTCCGCGCATCCCCCCTCTTCCCCATTCCCGCTCTCCCTTCCGCCGCCCCCCTCCGGCGCATTCCCCCCACTCCCCGCTTCCCCCTTTTCCCCCCATCCGTCCCCCATAACAACCGCCCCCCCGCACCCCCTCCGCGCCGCCTCTTCCAGGAAATCCGCACCGTCGAATCGCGGCCCTCTTAGAGCCAGGAACCAATCGCCGGGCGCCAGTTGGCGCGTGTCAGTGCAGACGCGCCCCGGCGGGCAGTCCCTGATGACCGTGCCCCCTGCCACGTCAGCGATTTCCTGCGCGCTCCACACGGAGCCAGTCCACTCGCTCGAGCCGCCCCCCCCGCCGCCGCCGCCACTGCCTGCGGCCGCCGCCGCACCACTGGAACCATCAACCCGCGGTCTCGCCGCGTTTGCGCCCTCCCCGCCACTCCTGGTGGAAGCTTCCGCGCGGGGTGTTTGCATAGCGGCGCGGGTGAAACGCAATGCGCGCGCGCGGGCGCGGCCGTGGGGAAGGCTAGGCGCGGGGCAAGCTGGTTCGGGAGGAAACGGCGCGGCGAGCGCGGGTGGACGCGCCGACGGCGGAGGAAGGCGGATGAAACAGCGCGCTACGACGCCTGAGTTTCTGTCGCACGGATGTCGGCTACTGTCGCACGATCTTCTACCGTCGCACAACGATCGCCTGCAAATGGCGAGGTCAGCGACAGCGGCGGCGGAGCAAGCGCCCGCCGGCATGAGGGGAATCGGAAACGAGACGAGAGAAGACAAAAGAGAATAGGAAACCTAAGCGGGAATTGTGGAAGGCAAAAGAGATTCCTGCGGGACAGGAGAAGACTAGGCGACTCGGTACAATGCTTGCCGAATGGGGGGAGTTCTTGTCGACTGGTGTGTGATCCTAATTTGCCGTGCCGAACCGGACCCAACCGAGGTTCCCAGTCACATACAGAGTCCCTTCGGGAATACCCGTTTTGTTACTTGGGGTGGCGGTTTCACGAGCGGCAGAAAAATCAAGAGACGGAACACCACCAGGGCCCGCCCGCCTAATAAATGCATGGGAGCACAACCAGAATGGGGAAGAAAAATAACCTAGCACAAAATAACAAAATCTCCATACCTACTGCATCGGTGCCTGACCGTACATGTACTGTTGAGAAGGCATGCCCCCCGCATTGTACACTCCCCCATTTTGCCCCGAAAAATCACCCCCTTGCACACCCCCTTCCCCTGGCCCCATCTGTCCTTGCCCCTGATAACCCCCATTTCCCTGCCCTAGAACATGATACGCAGGGGGGGGAGCGCCAGTGGCAGCATTGGGAGGATAAGCAGTGTAGGGAGGGGGAGGGGAAGCAAGAGAATACTGAGGCATAGCAGCAGAGGTCTGTTGGGGAGGAGGGGATTGAGTAGGGAGAGGGGGGGGAGGGGGCAAGGGGGGGAACGGCATGCCATCCATGTTCAGTGGGGGTGGGGGCGGGGGGAACATTGCGTGGTTCGGGGAAGCGAAGGTAGCGGCGGTGGAGGGAGGAGCTGCAAACGAGTGTGATAGAGGCTGTGTGCTTGTATCGGTGGGTCGCAGCCGCTTCTCAGGTGGCTGAGAAGGGTCGTTTGTAGCATCTGCCCCAGAAACTGGTGCTCCCGGGATCTGTAACCCCCCACCACCGCCACCACCACCATCCGCCCCACCACCTGCACCAGCAGCGTCAGCCGGAGCAGCAGCAGCGGCGGCTCCTGCTGCTACTGATTGCCCAGCTGCAAACGACGAAAGAACCGATTTCAAAATCGCAGCAGATGATGCCGAAGCAACCAGCTGGCTCGTCAGCTCCGCCGCCCGCTTCCGCCGAGCCTCCCGCTCAGCATCGGTAACCCCACCGGCTGCGCCTGCCGATGCAGCAAGCCCAGCCGGCAAACCTGGATTGCCGGCAGCAGCAGCAGAAGCAGCGGCGGCGGCAGCCACAGCGGCAGCAGCAGGGGTAGAGGCTTGAGAGCTGTTCACTGCTGCAGCAGCGGCGGCAGCAGCAGCAGCAGCAGCAGCCACCATCTCAGGAGGCGTGCCGGGGGGGGGTTGGAAGCCGGGGAGGACAAAGGCTGGTGCAGCAGCAGCAGGAGAAGCAGTAGCGGCAGGGGCAGCTGCTGCAGGGGTGCCCTGAGGGGCTGCAAAGAATGCTGCGGCGGATGGTGCTGGTGCAGCAGCAGTGGTGGCCGGGGCAGCAGCAGCAGCAGCGGAGGGGTTGGCAGCAGCAGTGAGGCCTGCAGAGGCACGGGCAGCGTCCTCCTCCGTGGCTCGCTTGCGCAGGTTGGCTGCTATCTCCGACTGCGTGCGCGCGATCTGCACATGGGTGGCGGGACAAAGGGGAGCAGGGACAAGGGGGGGCAGGGACAAGGAGCGGCACGGAGGAGTTGGGGCACAGACAAGGAGGGTTGCAAAAGAGTGCAATGAGCAGCTTCCTCCTCCGTGGCTCGCTTGCGCAGGTTGCCTGCGATCTCTGACTGCGTGCGTGCGTTATATGATGAGTGGGGTGCAGGATGCACGGGCACGGGTGAATCGGAATAGCAACCCGTGGCTCTCTCGATCTGCGACAGATTAAAGCGCATGGATGAAAGCGCCTCTGAGAAGGCACTGAGCATGAGGACAAGAGAGCAAGGCGAGCAGTGTCTTCCTCCTTCAGATATGGAGGGGTGCAAGTTGCAACGATGGGTCAATGACAGTGATGCAGTGAGTAGGTCCGGGGGCAACTAAGGTTGGATAAATGGGCAACCGTTTTCATTCAGGCTTTGGTACGTGTCTAGCTGCCGCTTCCGCTGCTTGCTGCTGCTGCTGTGGCTCCATGACTTGCAACCTTACAGCTGCGTCAGTGCCAGAGGAAACGGCTCTACATCCTCGCCTGGCGAATGACAAAAGTGTAGTTTTGAGACGTCTCAAAACTACACTTTTATCACGTGCCAGAGAAAGGGTTCTACGCCCTCACCTGGCAAATCAATCTATGCATAGAAGTGGGAGGAAGAAGAGGGGTGAGGGGGTGGGGCACGGGGAAGCCGGCACGGGGAATCTCACCTCCACCTGCGACCGCAGTCGTTCCAGCTTGCTCTCCTGCGTCCTGAGCGCGTCTGTCAGCAGCTTCACCAGCAGCGCTCGCTCTATGGCTTCAATCTCTAGCTTTCAGTGTTCTCTCTTGCAGTTGCCGGGAAAGAAGAGAGAGAAGGGGAGGGAGGGTGGTGGGGTAGGTACGCAAGAAGCAAACACCAGGCATCTCACCTCCACCTGTGACCTCAGGCGTTCCAGCTTGCTCTCCTGCGTCCTGAGCGCGTCTGTCAGCAGCTTCACCAGCAGCGCTCGCTTCCTCTCACACGCCGCCATCTGGTCGCAGCACTGCTGCAGCACGTGGCGCTTGGTGTCCAGCCTGTCCAACACCACTGCGCGCTCATCCGCCTCTGGTGATGCGAAGGAACACGCAAGGGAGCGAGAGGACAAAAAGGAGGTGAGGACAAGCACTGAGAGGAAATAGGGGAGCAAATATGGGCCCTGTGGTTCCTCTCACACGCCGCCATCTGGTCGCGACACTGCTGCAGCACGTGGCGCTTGGTGTCCAGCCTATCTCCCACCACTGCGCGCTCGTCCGCCTCTGGTGGGTGGAAGAGGAGACGTGGGAGAAGAGGGAACAATTGGAAGAAGGAAGCAGAGAGCACTGCTGTAGCACAGCAGCACGTGGCGCTTGGTGTCCAGCCTGTCGAGCACCACTGCTCGTTCATCCGCCTCTGGTGGGAGAAGAAGGGAGGGAAAAAAGACGGGAGCAATGAGAAACGAGGAAGGCATTAACTGGCAGCACTGCTGCAGCACGTGGCGCTTGGTGTCCAGCCTGTCGAGTACCACTGCTTGCTCGTCCGCCTCTGGTGGGAGCAAGGGGAGTGATGGGCGAAGTGGAAGATGTGGGAGCAAGAAAGCAGCGATGGGAGAAGTGGAGTAACAGGAGAAGTGGGAGAAGGATGCAACCATCTGGTTGCAGCTGTGCTGCAGCACAGGCTTGCTTCGTTGATGATGGCACCGCACTGCCATACCCACATGCACATGCTTGTAACAGCAGCACAAAACACACACACACACACTCGTGTGCGCACAGCAGCACGCATGCACTCATTCACTCACCAGACGCATTAGCAGGTGACTTGAGAGCAGTGAGCTCCTTCTCAATCGTCTGCAGCTCGTTCACGATGGCACTGCAGCGCAAATTAGCCAGTGCCTTCACCACATTCCCATTCACATGCGCGTCCCTACAACAGTGCATAACACACACCACGTGTGCACTCTCACACTCACCAGACGCATTGGCAGGCGACTTGAGGGCAGTGAGCTCCTTCTCAATGGTCTGCAGCTCGTTGATAATGGCACTGCAGCGCCGCACCGCCGTGTCCTCGTCCTTGCTCGCATCCTGCACTGCGCCGTACACTGATGATATGCGCTCCAATGGCCCCCGCACCTGGTGGAGGAGGAGGGGAAGGGGGGGAGAGGAGAGTGTATAATGCTACGGTCGCACCGCCGTGTCCTCATCCTTGCTCGCATCCTGCACTGCGCCATACACTGATGATATGCGCTCCAACGGGCCACACACCTGCTTGGGGGGGGCGTGGGCGCGGAGAGAGTGAGTGGTGGGGAGAAGCGTGTGGTTGGTCAGGATAATATGTGCTCGTCAATATCACTGTTCCGCTCTGTACTGCACATCACACAAACAATATTTGGCCCACTCTCCCTCCATCTCTCCCTTCCCTACTCTCGAACGGTCCTTTGTATTAGAATGTGCAAGATACAAACAAGGTAAAGGTGCCTCGGGGTCGTTGGTGTTCGTATTGTGGACGCGGCTCGGGCCCGTAGGGGATTTCGGTTGGATGGTCCCTACTCTCTCTCTCTATCTATCTTCCTCTCCCCCTCCCTCCCTCCTTCCCTCCCTCCTTCCCTCCCTCCCTTCCTTCCTATCTTCCTCCATCTCTCCCTCCCTCTCCCCATACCCTCTCCCTCTCTCTCCCTCTCTCCTTCTCTTTCTCCCTCCCTCTCTCTCTCCCTCTTCTTCCACCCTGACTCGCTCACACACACACAAACACTCCTCATCATCGCCATAGAAACGACTTCTGAAGCGCCTGAGAAACTCCTCTGCAGCTGCGGTGTCTCCCAGGAATGATTTCTGAGGAGCCTCAAAACTCGTCTGCTGCGCCGCTGCTACTCGCCCTGCACGCCCCGCCCCGCCCCTCGCCCTGGATGGATGCAGGGCTTGTGTTGGCAAATCCCAAAAACACCCTCTATCTATCCCAATCGCTCCTCACCTTCGCCGTGCTAACCGCTCCCGCGGCCGGCTGCTCCTCCGCCTGAGCGGCTGACGTGGCGGGCGGCGCGATGACGAGATCGCCCAGCAGCAGCTTCCTGAGCGGCTCGTCGCGCTGCCCAAACACCTTGCGCTCCTCCCATATGTCCACCTGCGGGGGAGAAGGAAAGGAGGGGTTGGGGAGAGAGGAAGGAAGGAGGGGAGGGGAGGGGAGGGGAGGGGAGGGGAGGGGAGGGGGGGGTGTTCCTGAGCGGCTCGTCGCGCTGCCTAAGCACCTTGCGCTCCTCCCATATGTCCACCTGGCGGCAGGATCGCCACGTGGCGCGCGGTTGTTGGTGGGTTGGGAGGCGACAGTTGTCAAGAGGGGTGGGCGGGGGAGGAAATAGAGGGGCGAAAGGGAGGGAAGGGGGAGGCCGGGGGGAGAGGGAGGGGACGGGAAGGGTGGGTGGGGGAAATCAGAAAGCAGATACGCGCGGATCAAACGCGTGGGGGTGGGGGGGAGTGGGGGGAGGAGGAGGGGGGTGGGGGGGGAAGGGCGAGGGCGGTGAGGGGGGGCCAGGAGAGGGGGGGACACACAATGCGGAGGGTTGATTAGGATAACTTGAACTCGACGCACCGCTTGGGACGTCCCAAGGAACGCTCAAGAGGCATTTCCCGGCTCCGTCCTTTGAGACATTCTCAAGTGAAAGAAGAGTGTTTTTGAGAATGTCTCGAAGGACGGGGCCGGGAGACGTCTCAAGAGAGACACTTTTCTTTCCCAAGAGGCATTTTCCGGCTCCGTCCTTTGAGACATTCTCAAGGCACGCTCGATACGCGCGTGGGAGACATTTCCGCTACTTATACTGATCTCAAACTGCTGTAAGCACCCCCGCTGCTACCACTGATCATGAATGCGGTTCAAAGGGAACGACGAACGTACAATGCGGAGGGTGGACTTGCGCGCGCTGTCAGGGCCGACGCGCACGAGATCCTGGTGCAGCGCAGAGGGCAGCACCTGCCAGAACTAACCGCCAAAGACATTCCCGCTACTGCTCACGAATACTCATAAACATTCCCGCTACTGCTACTGATCTCAAAATCGTGCAGCGCAGAGGGCAGCACCTGCCAGAACTAACCGCCAAAGACATTCCCGCTACTGCTCACGAATACTCATAAACATTCCCGCTACTGCTACTGATCTCAAAATCCCAGTGACACTCCCGCTAAGTGTCATTCATCTCGAACCGGAACGTACGATGCGGAGGGTCGATTTCCGCGTGCTATCGGGGCCGACGCGCACGAGGTCCTGGAGCGCGGAGGGCAGCACCTGCCAGAACTCCTGGATGAACTCTGGGCCCTTCTTGCGGCTGTTCTGCAGAATGTCGTTCGCGAGGTACAGCAGTGGTAACTTGCGATCCTGCGACGTGCTCGCGAAGTGCTTCTGCCATGTCTGCACCACCTGGTCGGCGCGTTTCCGGTGGAAAATGCACCAATGGGAGAGAGCTGACCGGACGGAGATGAGGGGGAGAGGGAGAAAGAGAGAAAGAGAGGGAGCGAGAGACGGATGTAACGGTCAGATATCAACGGTAACGGTAACGTTGACGTCTCGGATCAGCTAACCTACTCCCTTAACTTCGATGAACCAAGTTTTTGTGTCGAATGGAAATGATTGGTGATAAATAAGGGTGACTCTAAAATAAAAGTCGGATTACGGCTAGCTGTGTTAGGCTGGAATGCTGACTGCGACGCGGATAAATCAGTCAGGCGGACCGATCAGGGAGGCTTAACGACCAGTAAGGCAGGATCTTACTCTCAATGCTCTGCTGCGATGCATTCAGCTTAGATAGCTTCTCGAAAAGAATGGCGTCGTTAAACGCGTTCATCCTGCACCGCGAGAAATGACGTGAGAAAACAGAAGGCCGGCGCAACAACGGCCTACGAAGACCTATTTCATCGCCTACTTTATCGCGCCGACCTAATAAACGAGAAAACAAGTAAATCGTAAATAAGGATAGACGAGGCCTTGAACCCTAATTGCTCCTCGCGGAGCGCAGCTACGGTGCGGTATTTTCGGGTGAAACTGACAAAGGATTTGAGCCACAGTTTGAAAAAAATAAACAAACGGATGGAAGGCGGTTCTCGATTAGTTCGGAACGGCTGTATGCGTTACGCAGCGTTTGTCCCGCTCACTTGAAGCACGAACCTGTCTTGTTGATCTCAAAAGAATGGCGCCCTGGGTTCCAGAAGTTACGTAAAGACTGTATCGCGTACAGTCCAACCACGGTATATGGCTTTATTTGCTCAATTGGCCTATCTCTTAGCTCCCTCCTAGTTAGTGTTGCTCGTTATATAAGCAAAGGCCCTCATTCTTACTTTCGGTCATATATTCAATTTTCTGTATTTCCACACGGGTTTAGCTACAGCGGACAACCCCAGGTTTACGAAAACACATTTTCGGCCCGATTTCCTCTACCTAGCCTCTTTTCCAGAAATTGCGTGCAAAACTGTGTCAATCCTAGACACATACGGTCCCAGCTTGGCTAGGGTCCCTTCCACCTCATTTGTATGATCTGTCTTACAAACACATCTTCTATACTCATGCAGTCTTTTATCTTCCAACTCATCACAGAAGCGGAAATTACTAAAAGCGGGAGGTGCCCCTTCCTCAAATAGGGCACTTCCCTCTAGTGGTTGGTGCCGTGGCACAAGCCACGTTCGGTGTGTAGAAGCCGACAGCGCTTCGTAAAAATGGGTTCTTTCTTTCCCGCATTTGACCTGTTCCAAACCAGGCCGAGCTCGTTCGGCAACGGAGCCGCGGCTCGCTCACATCGAGAAGTTTCACCCAAACCTATCACTTTGCCCCGAATGTGCCTCTGACAGACCGACTCCAGGCGTAGCCACGTTCCCGCCGAGCGTCACGTCAGTGAGCCTCTCCCACACGAAAACACGAGCCTTGGTGGTGAAACCTGAGTCTCTCGCCTGTGCAAATGGCGTGGTTGCCCTTTTTGGCTAGAAGCGAGAAGAGCAATTCAGACTGCTAGCTCTGTTCGGTGAACATTCTTCACATCTCATGTTTCTGGTCAATCCATTTTAGTTTCCACCACTCAACCGCGCCAAGAAAGAACTAAGCTTGCTTTTTATAGTAGCCATGAAGGTCAACGTGCTGCTGCTGGCTCTAGCGCTCGTCACGTTGCTACACTTAGCTTCGGCGCAGTCAAACTACAACTCAACATGCAATGACCTGTGCACTGCGTCTCGCAACAACAGCATCTACCTCAACTGCACAGGGCAATGCGTGGTACGTGCCTCCGGCGCTCCCTCTGCCCCGCAGGAGTTTTGACTGGAAGAGCGGGGCAGCTTGCATTTGGACTTCGAGTGCATTAACATTTTCTAAGCGCCTAGAAAAATGGCGCTACAATGTTCTTTTGCCGTTCGCTTCATTTCACTCTTTCCGTCTTCCCTTGCTCGTCGCACCTCACCGCCACGAGGAATGTATTTTGGGTGGTATTTCAAAACTTTCTTAAGATTTCCAAGATATTCGTTTTCCCAAGCACCGTATTCCCCCCCCTGACTTCCTCCGGGCGCCCTTCATTCTGACTTTATTTTTTTCTTCCGCCGAATTTCGCTCATTCCGTTCGTTTCGCGCCACTCCCGGTATTGCGTCCCTCTGTTCACCCCCCCTGCGCCGCATTTTCCGCAGACCTGCATCTCCAAGGTTCCCTCCGGCTGTGTTCCCTTCTTCAACCCCGTCTTTACCGATGGTACGTCTTTCCAGGATACTGAGATGTCTTTCCAGGTTCGCTAAAGTCATTTCGTTACAATGGCACGCGACACATTTCCCTCCGGCTGTGTTCCCCTCTTGAACCCTCGTCTTTTACGGAGGTACGCCTTCTGAGGACACCGCCTGGTTTCGTTCTGTTCCTCATACGCCGTCTTTACTAAAAAGGCGACTTTTCCGAGCGGAAACAATGCAGCGAAAAAAGATCGTGTTTGGAGATAAAAGCGAGTTTATGTGCTCGCATCATCCCAGCTTCCGATTGCTAAGTGTTTGAATTTTTAAAAGGTTTTCTTTCCCTTGCGGGATGAGAATCTCGAATGAAACCGGAGTTCCGCGGTACCGCCTCTCGTTTCGGAGTTACCGCGGCCGGGCCGGAAACACCAACCGTGCGTCTCGGAGATGCGCCATATTTCTTCAGCCGCGAACTATCGGGTGACGTGTCGCCAATACAGCATGCCGTAAACCCAACACCCTGCTGGTCTCCGCCTGTTTCCTGCCTGCCAATCCCCCGCTCGTTTCCGCCTGCTCCCTGCTTGACTCCGCCAATACCCTGCTTGATTCCCCCTCGCTTCTCCTCATACCAACTTTTTTCCTAGCACACACCAGTTGCACTCTGCCCTGCGCGTGAAAAGAACGAGGCAGCACAAGGCAGACTCGTGACTCCCCTCATTCTGCAACTGTGCTCACTACCCCTTCCTCCTTCCATCCCCCTTCCGGCAGTGCCAACACATTTTCTCCCGGTTGTCAGCATACTTTTCCAGTTCTACGAAGTCTCAACACACAGAAGACCGTCGGCTTTGCAAGTTCTCCATCCCCTTGTTCCCAGCTCCCAGCTCCCTCACCCTCCTACACCCCTTTTGCTCACCTCCCTTGATCCCAAACTTCCAGGCTATCTCCAGAAGTGCGAGTGCGGCTTCTCCTGCCACGCGTCTCTCGAGTGGTGGCTTTTGAGTCGACTCAAAAGTCAGCTCTGACACCCCCCTCCTCCTCGTTTTCCCTCCCTTTTTTCCAGGCTATCTCCAGAAGTGTGAGTGCGGCTTCTCCTGCCACGCGTCGCTCGAGTGGTGGCAGTGGATGCTCGCGGGCTTCGCGATCTTCTTTGCGTGCGCGATGGTCGGTGCATGCATCATGTATGGCACCAAGGGAGCACAGTAGATGTCAGTGTTTCACACCCGTGACTGGCTTTTGAGGTGCCGCAAAAGGCGCGATGGTTGGCGCATGCATCATGTACGGCACCAAGGGAGCACAGTAGATGATGCAGGGGTTACACATCGCTGACCAGGTTTGGAGCTCACGCGTTACCAGGCTCTGAGGATGCCTTATGGAATTATCGTTAGTTGGATTTCTTCTCTTACTTAGTGCTGTAGGGGCGAGGTGCTTAGAATAATGATGATGCAGCGGTTTTTTCACGGATGTTCTGTGGCTTGAGTTCAAGTGTGCACGAGCTGCAAGCAAAGTATTCGGTGTCGCAGAGAAGGGTTCAGAAGAGTGATATCGGGAGGTACTGATGTCATTTGTAGCAAGAAGAAACCAATTGTGAATGAGAAATTACTAAGAACACTTGAGCTGAAACTGGGGAGCCATAGCGGCTTATTTGCTAGACACACATGGCAACAAACAATGCCATGCCATGCCATAACTTTATTCTTACTAAGCTGGAAATGGCATGCTACGCTGTAACATTTTCCTCCTTCCGTGGCAGAGCAGTGTAACGCAGCTTCAAGTGTTGTTCTTGGAGCATCGCAGCTTCTGGTGCGAAGCCCAGTACCCCGACTGGCACTTGCACATGGGCACATACGCCTGCGTGTTGAGCAATTTATCCACATCCAACGCGCACACGCCATTCAATTGTTGTTCTTGGAGCAGCGCAGCTTTTGGTGAGAGGCCCAGTACCCCGACTGGCACTTGCACATGGGCACATATGCTTGGGTATTCAGCAGCTGAGCCACGTCCAACACGCACACGCCCTTGCCGCTGCACGCCCCTGCAGCCATTGCGGACCCACAGAACTTGTTGCACTCCTGCGTGGTCTTCTGGCCGGCGGTGCCCCCGCACTTGGAGGGCACGGAGGAGAGGCAGTTGCCGGTGACGGAGAAATCATCGGAGCAGGGAAGGGAGGAGGCTGAACCGGAGAAGTAATTGTCAGCTGCGTTGACTTTCTTGACCCGCTGCAGGAAGGCCGGGATGGGACCTGAGAGGTAGTTGCCCGAGAGATCACTGGAGGGGCGGGGAGGGGAGTGGAGGAGTGTTGGACAGGAGCAGGTGAGGAAAAGAATGAGAGAAGGCAGATAGATGGGAGGGGTGCAAAGAGACAAGTGAGCACACGGGCAGGGAATGTGAAAGAGTTGGAAAGATAAGCACCAGGGGGGAAGAAGTGAGCAGGCGGGAAAAGCTGGTTGAGAAAGAAAGAGAGAGGCGTACATGAGGGTGAGCTGCTTGAGGGCGCTCAGATCAGGCAGGGGGCCGTAGTACCATCCGTTGTTGAGGTACCTGCAGTCATGGGTGCATGGGAGCGGTGCGGGTCATGAAAGCGGTTGGGTACGGTGAGGATAAGGAGCAGATGGGTGAACGTGCAGTATACAGTGGTAGCAATAGGTGAATAGGGTGGTAGCAGAGAAGGCTAGCCCACCCTCTCTCCCACCCCACAGTCCACTCCCCCTCCCTTCCCCCTGCCCTCCACTTGTCTCTTCCCTGCCCTTCCCCTGTCCTCCCCCGCCCTCCCACTTCCCCCCACCCCCAGCCTCACAGCTCTCTGAGCTTCACGAGCCCTCCAAGCGCCTTGGGCACCTCGCCGTACAGCCGCGTGTCGGACAGGGAGCTGGGGGGAGAGGGGAAGGAGGGGAGGGGGAAGAGGGGGGAGGTAAGTGGGTGGTAACACGGCAGTAACAGCCGCGTGTCTGACAGGGATCTGCACAGGATGTGAACGAGGTAGGGGGAAGACCGAGGATGTGGGAAAAGAGGGAAGGCGAAGAGGTGGAGGGAAGTAAAGAGGTGGTAAGAGGGCGGTGCGAGGGAGGGCGGTGAGAGGGCGGTGGGAGGGAGGTGGGAGGGAGGTGGGAGGGAGGTGGGAGGGAGGTGGGAGGGAGGTGGGAGGGAGGTGGGAGGGAGGTGGGAGGGCAGAGAGTGAGCTTACAGGTATGTGAGCTGCTCTAGTGTGCCCAGGAACGTTGGAATCTCGCCCTCAAATGCAGTCTCCATCAGACCGCTGGCAGGAAAGTACATGGTGAGGAGGAAAGAGGGGGAGAGAGGGGAAGGGAAGGGAGAGAATCCGAGACGAGAATCAGGACACAGGGCATGTTGACTTTTGAGTTTTGAGTCGACTCAAAAGTGAATCCGAGACGAGAATCAGGACACAGGGCATGGCCGGGAACGTTGGGACCTCGTCTCGCCCTCAAAAGCGGTCCCCATCAGCCCACTGGCAGGACAGTATGGTGTGAGGAGGAAAGAGAAGAGGAGAAAGGGGAGAGGAGAGTTGGGACATGGCATGGAACGTTGAAAAGCTTGTGAGCTTGTAAACTGCTGCGGTGACATGGTTGGAATGATGCAGGCCTTGCTTCTTGAAGAACTGGTGAGCATTCACTTCACAGAGTCAGCTTTCAGGTAATTCAGCTTACAGGTAATTCAGCTTACAGGTAATTCAGCTTACAGGTAATTCAGCTTACAGGTAATTCAGCTTACAGGCAAGAGCACAGCGTCACCTGTTGGGCAGATTGCTCACAGGTAATTGAGCTTCTTGAGTTGCGACAGCGCCTTGGGAATGGCGCCCTCCCAGTAGTTCTTGCTCACGGTGCTGTGAGGAGAAATCTGGAGTGAGTGAGAGTGTGTGAGGAAGGGCGCGTGCGTGTGTGTGTGTGTGTGTGTGAGAGCATGCTGAACAAGAGGGAGCAATAGTAGCAAGCACCCACACCTCCTCTCACTGAACTCTCAGACTCACAGGCGCTCCAGTTTGGTGAAAGAACCAATGAAATCCGGTAGTGGCCCGCTGAAGCGGTTGTTGCGCAGATAGCTGGGGGAAGGAGAGGGGGAAGATGAGAGGGTAAGGTTGAGGCAGGCAACAAGAGAGTGGGGTAAAGACTAGGATGGGATGGGTTGGGATGGGATGGGTTGGGATGGGATGGTATGGAATGGGAACTAGCTTGCCGAGCAAACAGTGTTCCGCTCTCTGCCTTCCCACTCCCTTTCTCTCCCATCTCTCTCAAGCGGTCCGTGTATTAGATCCGGTCCCATCTCTCTCCCTCTCCAACTCTATGTCTCCCCACCCTCGACCCACAGCTCTTTGAGTTTTTTCAGGTTGGCAAAGCTGGCCGGCAATGCCCCTCCCACGCCGTCCTCCCCTGTTCCAGCGAGGTTGCTGCCAAGGCGGTTCAAAGGGAGGAAAGGGGGAGATGGGGCGAGACAGGGCGGAGACGCAGGGAGACCTGGTTATACACGTGCTGCCCGGCAAGGCCCCTCCCACGCCGTCCTCCCCTGTTCCAGCCAGGTTGCTGCCACGCCGCATGGGAGGGAGGAGGGGCGGAGATGGGGGGGGAGGGATGCGGGAGATGGGGGGAGAAGGGGAGAGAGGCAGTGAGACTACCTCATCGGGCTTGCTTGAGGGCTACACGAGGTGACTTTTAAGACGACTCAATAGTCACCTCGTTACCATGGCACAGGCTACACGAGAGTTTTGTGGGGAGATACTGGTATTGCGGACGGAAAGAATCCGTTGTGCTGATCTGTCAGTGGAGATGGGGACGCTTATAGCGAGGATGTTGACAAGGATGGTTAAAACGAGTCAAGGATGCGTATAACGAGCCGATGTTGCTTACAGGAAGACGAGGTTGACAAGGTTGCCGAGGCTGGCAGGCACAGCACCCTCTAGCGGGTTACCACCAATGCTCCTATGGTTCGGGAAACACAGTCGAAACCAGGGGGAGGATGGGCGAAAGTGAGTTAGGGCAAAGGAGGAAAAGGCAATGGTGCAGAAGTGTAAGAACAGGATTGATTTCTTCTGAGGGGTGTGAGGGATTGTGGACGGCTTGAAGGATTCTGGATTTTCTGCCTCTACATGGAAACTGTTTAAAAAGCCAGCATGGGATGGCATGGCAGGGCATGGCATGGCACGGCATGGCATGGCATGAAATAAGATGGAATAAGATGGAATAACATGGAATAACATCGAATAACATGGAATAACATGGAGTAACATGGAATAACATGGAATAACATCGAATAACATGGAATAACATGGAGTAACATGGAATAACAGGGAATAACATGGAATAACATGGCACGTCATCGCTCGTTGACTGACAGGTATGTGAGGGCATTGAGTTGGCCGAGGAAGGCCGGAATGCGCCCCTTGATCCAACAGTCATACACATTGCTGTGGGCGGGGCGGGAGCGGAGGAAACAGAATTAAGAGCAAGGCAGAGAGGGAGAGGGAAGAGGCAGGAGCAAGGCGAGAAGGTGTCCAAAGGAGAGGAGCAGCAACCAACGCAATGACTTTTGATTTGAGGCGCCTCAAAAAGAGGCAGGAGCAAGGCGAGAGAGGTGTTCAAAGGAGAAGAGCAGCAACCACTGCAATGTAATGTACAGCACTAGTGGCAGCCCGTCTTCCTTCCAGCCGCACACCACTGCACAGCACCGCTCAGAACCGACGCGCTGCAAGCTGGCGAACTCAAAGGTGGCTGAGCTTCTTGAGCTTGGTGAGAGACTGAGGCAGCACCTTGAACGCCGTTGTTGTGATATCTCAAATCGCTGCGGCCGTACAGCACTGCACAGCACCGCATTGCACCCTGGGGCACTCACAGGTGGCTGAGCTTCTTGAGCTTGGTGAACGACTGCGGCAGCTTACTAGTAACTCAAACCTCTGCCATCCCACAGCATTGCACGGTACCACATTGAACCGCGTAGCACCCTGAGTCACTCACAGGTGAATGAGCTTCTTGAGCTTGGTGAACGACTGCGGCAGCACCTCCACGCCGCCGTTGTAACTCAAATCGCTGCGACCACGCCGTGCAGCCAAGGCAGGCAGGGCAGGCAGGGCAGCGGAGAAGAGTGGAGAGGAGCAGAGAAGCAGGGGAGGAGCGGAGAGGGGGTAGGCGTTTAGACAGGGGAATAGATGGAAGGGGCAGAGCAATGATGCTTGGAAACCGCAAGAGGCATCGTAAGAAGCATCTATCTGAACAAGGAGGGTATGAGGCATTTAACTCAAGAGCGAGAAGAGGGTGGATGGGAAAGGGCGAGGCTGAGAGTGAAAGTTGAGGCTGGGAGGGAAGGGCTGAGGCGCGATGGAGTATGAGTTTGAAGGGAGGGGCAAGGCTCAAGACTCGCAAGGCTCTGAAGGGATGGAAGAAAGGCGAGGGAGGATGGGAATGGCATGCGAAGGGATCGTTCGAGGCTTACAGGCGTTGGAGCTGGTCGCGCGTGGATGGGAAAGGGTGAAGCGGGATGGGAGGGTTGAGGGGGGACGAGAGTGACATCTGGAGGGGCGAGGCTGGAGGCTCACAGGCTTTGAAGCTGGTCGAGCGTGGATGGGGGGTGATGAGGCGGGATAGGAAGGGCGTCTGGAGACCGGAGGGGGCGAGGGACGAGGCTGGAGGCTCACAGGCTTTGAAGCTGGTCGAGCGTGGATGGGGGGTGATGAGGCGGGATAGGAAGGGCGTCTGGAGACCGGAGGGGGCGAGGGACGAGGCTGGAGGCTCACAGGCTTTGAAGCTGGTCGAGCGTGGAGAGAGCGTCGATGGGCCCCACGAGGCGGGCAGACGTGGCGTTGCTGCGCGCGGAGGGACGCGGGGAAGCAGTAGGGATGCACCGGGGAGGGGTAGCGGCAGAGGCAGAGGTAAGTTGCAGTTGAAGGTAGGACGGCACGTGACGAGTGTGCTATTCACACGAGTTGCAGCTCAAGTTGAAGTTGGTACATGGGGGGCAGGAGCCGCAGCTGTGACACTGTCGCAGGCAGGTGGCAGGTGGTGAATCTTGCGTCGCCTATTATTTTGAGAAAACCGCGAGAGGCGGAATTTGTTGCGGTTTTGTGTTATCTCTTGCTGGTCTCGACTCGGAATCGACAGCGAGGCACGGCACTCACGGTCGTCGCGCGCCACTCACAGTCGTCGCGCGCCACTCACAGTCGTCGCAGGGCACTTACATGGCGACGATTTTTCCCTCCGCGTCGCACGTCACTCCCTGGTACTTGGAGCACTTGAGGGGCGCGCCGCTTGCTGTCCACGACTTGGAGAACTCAAACTCGCTTCCCGACTGCGCGCCGAGCTGACGGAGAACGTCCACTGACGGACGGAGGTGGACAGAAGGGATGACGGACAGGGACGGAAGAGACGTTGGGAATGATGATACGGGCGACCAACATTGCTTGAAGTTTCTGAGCAAAGGATCCCAGCCAATGGCGGACCGACACGTACGCTGCGACTTGAGGATGATCGGATCGGACGACGCGGCCATGCGGATTGCGTCGCCGGTGGGGAGGAGGGCCGCGGAGACGACCGCGAAGACGACGCCGACGAGCGCAAGCGGCGCCAGTCGAGGTAGACGTTTGAGCGACGCGATAGAAGCCATCAGGCGCAGAAATCGCGTGAGTTGATTAATACAGGTTTGTCGAAGGTTAGCCGGAAATATGGAGACTACTAAACTGAAGTAAGGGTATGGCAAGGCAAATCACTGCGGTGTTCAGCCAGAGAACGGGTGTAATGGTCGGTTGGGCCGGGACTAGGGAGTCGCACCTTAGCGGGTGATCCTACGAAGGGCTAGGGCATCCCGTGGGTATTTATAGTGCCGTTGCCTTGGCAGGAACAGTTGTGAGGGGAGGCAAAATGGAGGGAGAGGGCAGACTTGTGGGGTAGCAGCGCAAGCGACGGCGGGAGCTGATGCCTGGTTTGGCTGCATCGAAGTGCATTGCAATGCAATGCCTCCTGCTCGAAGCGCGTGTCTTATCATAAGATTATCGAACCGCATGTCGCTTCCCATCGACGGTGAATAGATGCGGAATCCGTGAGCGAGATGAGCTTTCCCAAGCCACCGCCGTCGGATTGGAAAGCTGTTGACCGCCAGCGACGGCGCGCCTGTGTAGAAGAATTATTGGTGCATTGACTGGTCCAATAATCGCGGCTGTGCGGAACGAGAGCTTTTCGCGAACAGATAGCGCGTCTGTTACAGCTTTTCTTTGTAGGCTTATAGTGATGAGTGAGTCAAAACCATGAAAAGAATGGTTGTAACGACACCCAACGTTTTCATATCGCGAACAAACCTTTGTCGCGATTATTCCTCTTCAACCCAATGTCGTTGTTGCGCCGGCGTCTCTGCCGAGCTAATTCCCGATCTGACGGCTGCCGACTCACGCAATCTCCAGCCACGATTGATAATGCGCCATCGTTCACCGTCGATGGAACACCACCTTCCCACAGCCTCCAGCAGCCACCCACTGCATCGGCCTAATCACAAGCCCGCAGCGCGACTCCAACTCCCCCACCTTCCCCAGCCGGCCGCGAAGATGCGGAGGCGCGGCATTGATCCCCGTCCTTCGCACTGCTGGCCCCACTGCGGCTCTCTCTCTCGCTCGCTTCGCCATTATCGCGCCGCGCTGTTCTTCCTGCATACCTGCACTACCTCCTACATCTTAAAGCCTCTACCGCTGTTGCCCAAAGGGTCCAAGCACTATATATGCACGAACGCAATCCCTAAGACCTTGCCCTGTTTAGCTCACCGCCGCCCACATCTGCCGGTTTAATCATCGCCATACCCTCGAGTCTTTCCATACCCTCGGTTCAGTAGTCGCCGCGCCCTCAGCTTCTGAGTCGACTCAAAAGCGCCGCGCCATCAGGTTGCTCCATCGTCGTCGCCGTACAAGCAGTTCTCGATGGCTTTAATCGTGTCGCTCGCCCGCCTGCGTCGGCTGGCGCCAGTGTCGCTCATCGTCGTCGTCGTTGTCGCGATCGTCGCCGCGACTCTCCTTCCCTCCGGCGACGCAATCCGCTTGGCCGCGTCGCCTGATGCGACCATCCTTAAATCGCAGCGTACGTGTCGTTCTGCCATTGGCTGGGATGGTTTCCCCCAGGAATGTGCTTAAAGCGTCGTTTTCCGCCCTTTTCAACGTTCGCCTCAATTCTCCCGTCCCCCTCCGATCCCCTCCGTCCCCCTCCGTCCGCCTCCGTCCGTCAGTGGACGTTCTCCGTCAGCTCGGCGCGCAGTCGGGCAGCGGGTTCGATGGGTTCAAGTCGTGGACGGCCAGCGGCGCGCCCGCTAAGTGCTCCACGTACTATGGCGTGGCGTGCGACGCCGAGGGCAAGATCGTCGCCATGTGAGTCAAGTGCGACGGCTGTGAGTGACGTGCGACGACTGTGGGTGACGTGCGACGAGGAGGGAAATATTGTCGCGCTGTAATTGACGTGGCGCCTCAAAGGTCGTCCCTCCTCTTCCGTATTCTATTCTCGAGACACCTATCTACCTGACCTTCAACTGATCTATCTCCCCTGCTGCTTCCCCGTGCGTGCGTATCTCATTCCCTGCTCCGTGCTCCCCTGTACCTCCGCGTTCAGCTATGTCCCGTCTGCCCGCCTCGTGGGGCCCATCGACGCACTCTCCTCGCTCGACCAGCTGCAACGCCTGTGAGCCCTCATTGCTCCTTACACCTCAGTCCTCACGCCTCACTCCTTACACCTCACTCCCTCACATCGGACTTCACACCTCCTACTCTCCTCGTGGGGCCCATCGACGCGCACTCCTCGCTCGACCAGCTGCAACGCCTGTGAGCCACCAGCATAGCCTCTTCCCTTTCAGATGCCAGCCTCACCCGCTCCCACCCACCCTCACACCTGCACCGCACACCTGCTCCCCGACTCTTGAGCTAACTTATCCACTTGGTTAGTGCTCACTCTTTCAATCGCACATCCCATCCACTCGTCTGGTTTTGGGCTTCCTTGCATGTCCTCTTGGTTCGGCCGACCAGCTCGCTTTCTCTTGCTTTCTCTCTCTCTCTTTCTCGCATTTCTCCGAGCTAGATGCCTCGGATTTTGTTTCTTGCCGTTTCCACGCCTCTCGCCCTTGCCCCTTCCATCCCCTCCTCCTGTTTAAACGCCTTTCCTTCTCCGTTTCTTCCACTCCTCTCCTCTCCACTCCTCTCCTCTCCGCTCCCCTCACGGCATGGTGCGGTCGCAGCGAATTGAGTTACAACAATGGTGTGAAGGCGCTGCCACAGTCGTTCACCAAGCTCAAGAAGCTCAAACTCCTGTGAGTGCCCTGGGGTGCAATTCGGTTCCATGCGGTTCCATGTGGTGCTGTGGGGGGGGGGGGAAAGGTTGTGAGTTACAACAATGGTGTGGAGGCATTGCCGCAGTCGTTCACCAAGCTCAAGAAGCTCAACCTCCTGTGAGCGCAGTGCTGTGCAGTGCTGTGCGGTGCAGTGCGGCTGGCTGACGGGCTACCATTAGTGCTCCACTTCGCAGTAATTACTGCTATGCTCCATCCATTGAACAACTCTTTCCTCTTTCTCTCCCCTCTTTCCCTCCTGCTCGCCTTGCCCCTGCCTCTCCTCCCTCTTCCCTCCCTCTCGCTTTGCTCTTCCTGCTTCTACTTCCTCCGCTCCTGTCCCGCCCACAGCAATGTGCACGGCTGTGGGTTCAAGGGGCGCATTCCTTAATCCATCTCTCCTCGCTTTCTCCCTCCCTCCTTCCTCCCCACCCTCCCCTCCCCCTGTTGCCCACAGCAATGTGTGTGGCTGTTCTATCAAGGGGCGCATTCCGGCCTTCCTCGGCCAACTCACTTCCCTCACATACCTGTCAGTCAACATTCCATGCCGTGCCATGTTCTTCCATGCCATGCCATGCCAGGCTGTTTTCGAGAGTTCTTGCATGCAAATGCGAATCCGCAGATGCACTCGATCCTTTTTTAGGCATCTCAACCGGGAAGACGCCTTTTCTTCTTCTTCTTCTCCGAAAGCCCTCGAACCCTCAAGCTCTCACGCGCCACCTTCTGAGGCGCACCCCAGGAGAAATCAATTCTTGTTTTGCCTTCCCCACGCTTGTGTCCTCGCTATTGGCTGGTGGCAGGGGCATTGGTGATAACTCGTTTGAAGGTGCTGTGCCTTCCAGCCTTGGCAGCCTTGTCAAACTCATCTTCCTGTAAGCACCGTCGACTCGTTATAAGCATCCTCATTATAAGTCATCCTCGTTTTGTGATACGCATCCCCATCTTGTTATAGGCACCCGTGAACCGATTTAAGTATCCCTATTCTCGGTATAATCGTCCCCGTATCCATTGACTGACCATCCCCATTCTCATCCCCATCCCAATCCTCACCTCATCCCCATCCCCATCCTCCCCTCCTTGTGTGCACCCTGGCAGCAACATCGCTGGAACAGGGGAGGACGGCGTGGGAGGGGCCTTGCCGTCTAGCTTTGCCAATCTGAAGAAACTCAAAGAGCTGTGCGTGCCTGGGGGGGGGGGGGGGGGGGGGGGGGGGAGAGGTGGAGGGGATGGGAAAGAATACTGGACAGTGCCAATCTGAAGCAGCTGAACGACCTGTGGGTGTATTTGGAAGGTGGAGCGTGGGGGAGGAGGGAGGGCAGAGGGAGAGAGAGGAGGGAGGAAGTGAGTGGAAACAGAGAGAGTGAGTGAAACAAAGTGTGCTCGGCAAGCTAGTTCCCATTCCATCCCATCCCATCCTCGTCCTTACTCCTCTCTCTTGCTGTTTGCCCCATCCCCCTACCTTCTCATCTTCCCTCCCCTCTCACCCCACCTACCCTCCCCCTCTTCCCCCCCTCCCCCACCCTCTCATCTTTCCCCCCGCTTCCCCCTCCTTCCTCTCCCCCCCCCCTCCTCCCCCACCAACCCTTCCAGCTATCTGGACAACAACCGCTTCAGCGGGCCGCTCCCGGACTTCATTGGCTCTTTCACCCACCTGGAGCAGCTGTGAGTGCCGTGAAAGGACCTGTGAGTGCGCCGCAAATAGACGGGAATAACTGCGAGTTCAGTGAGAGGAGCCCATTAGAGTGCCGCTCATTCCCCCCTGCACGCTGTGAGTTCGCTGCGCCTAGAGAAGCAGCTGGAGCAGCTGTGAGTGCGCCTGCACCTGAAGGGGTGCAGCTGTGAGTGCAGTGAGAGGGAGCGCCTGTGAGTGCACCACGCGTAGAGAGGAGCAGCTGTGAGTGCCGTGATAGTTCAGTGAGAGTTCAGTGAAATCAGTCAGGGGAGTGCTCGTGAGTGCCACTCACCTAGAGAGGAGCGCCTGTGACTTCACTGAGAGTTCCGTGAGAGTGCCTGGGAGTGCCGCTCTTTCCCCTCTGCACGCTGTGGCTGTGAGTGCGCCACACTCAGACAGGAGTGTGTGCGAGTTCAGTCAGAACCGAGAGAGGAGCGCCGCGCCTGTGTTGATAAAGGAGTAGCGACGGGTGCAGTGCGGTGCACCTAGAGAGCCCTGCCAACTTGGTGCACAGAGAATTGAGAGGAGCAACTGTTAGTTCACTGTGCCTTGACCCGCCTGCCTACCTCTTTGCAAACCCTACGTGTGTCTGTTTTCCACCATTGCTCTCTCTCTGCTGCACACTGACACTCAATCTCTCAATACACCCTCTCACTCACTCACTCCCAATGCCCCTCCCCAACCCGCACAGCATGGTGAGCAAGAACCGCTGGGAGGGTGTCATTCCCAAGACCTTCTCCAAACTCAAGAAGCTCAGACTCCTGTGAGTCTCGCTCAGCCTCACCACCCTCTCTCTGTCTCTGTCTTTCTTCTTACAACGTTATCTTACTTTTGAGTCGTCTGAATAACCAGCCTCTCTCTGTGTCTCTCTGTCGTTCTTATTTATCGTTATCTTACTCCTCCTTCTCCCTCTCGTTCTCTTGCTTCATAATGATCTTTCTAAAGTATTCTCGTCAAGAGCATCATCTTGATCGTTCCCAGATTGCAACCACTTTTCAACCGCTCAAAACAACACCAGCTATTTATCACCCCCTGCCATGCCCTATCTCTCTCTCCCCCCATTCCTCCCCCCTCCATCCCTCCATCCGTCCCCTCTCCCTCCGCTCCTCTCCCCCCATTTCCCCCCCTTCCCCCCCTCCCCCCTCTCGCACCCCTTCACCCCATCCTTCTGCTGCCCTCTCAGCGGGCTGATGGAGACAGCACTGGAGGGCGAGATTCCAACGTTCCTGGGAAAGCTGAGCCACCTCACATACCTGTAAGCTCACATACCTGTAAGCTCACATACCTGTAAGCTCACATACCTGTAAGCTCACATACCTGTAAGCTCACATACCTGTAAGCTCACATACCTGTAAGCTCACATACCTGTAAGCTCACATACCTGTAAGCTCACATACCTGTAAGCTCACATACCTGTAAGCTCACATACCTGTAAGCTCACATACCTGTAAGCTCACATACCTGTAAGCTCACATACCTGTAAGCTCACATACCTGTAAGCTCACATACCTGTAAGCTCACTCACTGCCCTTTCAGTGCCCATCTTGCCGTACTCTGCCCTCTCCTGCCCTCTCCTGCCCTCTTGCTCTCCTCTTACCACCCTCTTGCTTCCTTTTCAACTCCCTCTCTCCGCCCTCTCACCGCCTCTCACCGCATCCCGCCCCACTCTCTTGCACCTCCCTGTGCAACACCCCTCTGTACAGCCACGTGCCCAGGCCGCTCTCCAGCCCCTCCCTCCCCACTCTTCCCACAACCCCTTGCTTCTCTCCCTCCCCTCCCCTCTCCCCTCCCCCCTCCCCCCCCCCTCCCCGTCCCATTCCCCTTCCCCCTCCCCCCTCCTCCCTCCCCCTTCCCCCTCCCCCCAGCTCTCTGTCCAGCACGCGGCTGCACGGGGAGGTCACTGGAGCGCTTAGCGAGCTGACGAAGCTCAGAGAGCTGTGAGGCTGGGGAGGGGGGGGGGGGGAAGGGGGTGGGGTGGGGTGGACGGGGGAAGGGGGAGGGCAGGGGGCGTGGGGGGGCAGGGGGAGGACAGGGTCTCGTGGGGGGGGGAAGGGGGCCGCAGAGTAGAATCTTTGTCGCATAGGAGCAATGGGCAGGTGACTTTTGAGTCGACTCAAGAGCAGAATCTTTGTCGCATAGGAGCAATGGGCAGGTGACTTTTGAGTCGACTCAAGAGCAGAATCTTTGTCGCATAGGAGCAATGGGTGGGTTGAGCACCTATGTGATTCAGCAACGCCTCCTCTCCCATTCCACTCACCTTCTCCCTCCCACTCATCTGTCTCCTTCCCTCCCACCCACCCATCTCTCTGCACCGCTGCAGGTACCTTCAGAACGCACTGTTCTACGGCTCCCCGGCCGGCCTCAACACCCTCCAGCAGCTCACCCTCATGTACGCCGCTCACCTGCCGCCCACCTGCCGTCCACCTGCCGTCCAACTGGCGCCCACCTGCCGCCCACCTGCCCTCCCACCTGGCCACCCCTCTGCATCCCACCCCTCTGCATCCCACCCCTCTGCATCCCACCCCTCTGCATCCCACCTCTCTGCATAACATCTATCCACCTCACCCTTTCCCTTTCCACGCTCCCCACTCCCCACTCCCCACTCCCCACTCCCCTCTGCCCACTCCCGTCCCACCCCACCAGCGACCTCTCTGGCAACTATTTCTCAGGCCCCATTCCGGCCTTCCTGCAGCAAGTACAGAAAGTCAACGCAGAAGACAACTATTTCTCCGGCTCAGCCTCCTCCCTTTCCTGCTCCGACGACTTCTCCGGCTCAGCCTTCTCCCTGGGCGGCAACTGCCTCTCATCCGTGCCGCCCAACTGCGGCGAGTCTGCCGCCCAGAAGAGCGCGGCCGAGTGCAACAAGTTCTGTGGGACGGCCACGGCCGCGGGGGCGTGCAGCGGCAAGGGCGTGTGCGTGATGGGTGTGGATGAGTCCCGTGGCACTAAGGAGTTTGTGCCCATGTGCAGGTGCCAGGCGGGGTACTGGGCTTCCCACCAGAAGCAGCGGTGCTCCAAGAACAGCTCTTGAATGCCTGCTGAAGCATACCGTAGCTCCGTTACGGAGGTGAGGTTAGATGTGGCATCGCATCGCTTCGCTTGGATTCACTGCGGCAGCATTGCTCGGTCGGTCGGTATGGCATTGCTCTGGATGAGGGAGGAAAGACCGTAGTTCTGTCGTTAGTCTAGCATGCTATTTCCAGCTTTCTACCGTAGTTTGAGAGCGGAATAAAGATGTGGCATGGCACACACGGCATAGCTCTGGATCCAGTGAATAAGCCACTTGCCACTCCATGATTGTTAGTAGAAGCTTCTCATTTACTACCAGAGTAATTACCGTACTTTCTTCTCTTTCCAGTATGGCTCCATCTTCAATGGAGATTCTTCATCCAGTTCGTTTGCGCACTTTGACGAACCTCTTGGTAAAACAAAACTGCCATCGCACTGAACTGAACCCCATAAAAAAGAATCATGATCTAGCATTTTCTATTGGCAGAACTAGACAGGGCGGACGTACCAGGATGTCTACTAGGGCGTCATGGCATGGTTATGTGATGGTTGGATTGAATCATGAGCAGAGCAGCGTGTAGACTGCCTGAGGGCAGCAGTGCGCATTTGCTATCAGCGCACAGAAATGCGTTATGGTACCATATGTTTAGACTTGGACTTGTTTTCAAGTTTGCAACGTACGGTACCGTAGACTTGATTCCAGTAGTGAGCAGATCAGCATGTAGCAGACGGCCTGAGGACAGCCGTGCAGTGCAGGATCCATTATTAGAACACAGAAACGCATTACCACGGTATGTTGAACTTCGGACATTATTTTTTTACTTTACAATGCAGGCTGCGGTGTGGACAGTGGAATATCCAACCAGGCCAGAAAGAAATGCTTTGTTGGAGAAAGGGGGGAGCCTTGAAATGTGAGAATGGCCAAGGTAATGGTGCATCTTCAATAGAATTCATTAACAAGGGGCTGTCGTGTACACAGCACAAAGCGTGATACCCTCCTCACAATTTCTTTTAGTATAGCATTTCATGGCCTTCTTTCCAGGGTGCCGCATGCTATTGCATGAAAACATGGCAATATGTGGTGCTTACAGCACGTTTATTGGGATGAAAGACCAGCTAAGTACCACATTCTAAACAGCCGCTTAGTCCAAACAAGTGCTATATTTACTGCTCAGCTGCTCTTCGCTTCGCAGGTCAATCCGTTCTTGCTAGCCACAAACCCCTTAAAGCACTGGCACGAGAAATTCAGATCACTCCCCTTCCATGCAGGCCTGCACACGCCATGCCCCCCACATGTGCCCGCTTTCGTTCCCGTCCCACAGAAATCCCTGCACCTGTTAGCAGGACGAGGCGTGATTGCTGCCTTGCACTTGGAGGGAACTGAGGAGAAGCAGTTGTACGAGAGAGCTTCGGGATCCGGGCAGGGAAAGGAAGCAGCGCTGCCCGAGAAATAGTTGTCGGAGATTGTGAGGTTGGAGATGGATGCAATGGAGCCTGGGAGGGCGCCGGATAAATAGTTGCGACTGATGTCACTGGAGTGGTTACGAGTGGGGAGGGGGGGGTGTGGGGGGGGGAAGGGGAAACAGTTAGGAGGAGGAGGAGGAGGAGGAGGAGGAGGAGGAGGAGGAGGAGGAGGAGGAGGAGGAGGAGGAGGAGGAGGAGAAGGGGCAGGGGAGGGAGGGTGGGTTACAACAAGAAGGCCAAAAGAGGAATAAATGTTCAAGGAGTATGAAGGACGATAGACTGTTGCGGATTATTGGGTTGCTTACCTTCGAGCCTGAGGTTTGGTTGCTTACAGTTGGCGGAGGTTCTTTGCAGCACTGAGGTTGGGAAGAAAGCCGCTCAGCATGTTGCCGTCCAGTTGCCTGGTGGGAGGGAAGGTGAAACCGACTTTTATCTTGAGTCGAAAACAATCCTGAGTTGATCATTCTCACATGTGCAAAGAACGCCACTCAGCATGCTGTAGACCAGTCGCCTCCTGGGGGGAATAAGGGGGAATAAGGAGCCTGATATGCTGGAGTCGTTTTTTGGGAGAAGTCGTAAAGATGGGGAGGAAGGAAGCCACCCAATATGCTGTTTTTCAGACGCGTGGTCGACTTGCGCAGATTGAAATGCAGACCTTGACGGTTTTGTTTTTTTTGCAGAATTTTCGAATTTGACTCAGGTTTCGCAGACCATGACCGACTGTTTGTTGCGCATTAGATGTTGGTGTTTTAGGTGGATGGTGATATTCGATCCATCTGCTTATAAGGCGGATAAAAAGGAGCCCCCCAGCAGGCTCACAGGGCTTGCAGGTTGACCAGTCTGCTGAAGCCACGTGGAATGTTGCCACTGATGCTCGTGCTGCCCATAGATCTGTTTTTGCGTGGGAACGGTGGAAGGGGGGTGGGGAGGGTGGAAAGGGGGAAGGGGGAGATGGGGGGAAGGGGGAGATGGGGGGAAAGGGGAGATGGGGGGAAGGGGGAGATGGGGGGAAAGGGGAGATGGGGGGAAGGGGGAGATGGGGGGAAGGGGGAGATGGGGGGAAGGGGGAGATGGGGGGATGGTGTCTTTCGAGTAGACTCAAATTGCATATGGTTCTGTTCCAAAACACTGATTCTGATCAGGAGCTGCCAATATATTTGTTCTTTCATGGGAACAGTGAAAGAGGTCGGGTTGGGAAGGAGGGGCGGGGGAGGATGGGAAGGGGGAAGGGGGAAATGGGGGGAGATGACTTCGGGGGAGATGGCTTTGGGGGAGACTTGAATTTCATTTAGTGCTGGCCCTGAAGCTGATTTTGCATGAGGGCAGTGGGAGGGGGGAGGAATGTGCAAGGGTGGAAAGGGCTAGAGAAGGGAGGGAGACGGAAAGGGAGAGAAAGGGGAGAAAAGCGAAGGGGGGTAGACAGAAAGGGTGTGGCTGGGATGGGGAGGGATTGGGATGTGCATCATTCCATATTGCTTGACTCACAGGGAAACGAGCTTGTGAAAGGTGGAGAAGAAGGGGGGAATGCCTCCCGAGATCTCTGTCTCACTTAAATCACTGTGGGGTGGGGAGGAGTGAACGGGGGGAGATTACGGGTACAGACGGGAGAACAGAATGGGGAGAGGAAGATTGGGATAGATGGTGATTGAGAGAAATACCTCCTCACAACGGAGCATCCTCATAGCAGCAACCCCTCAAAACCACATCCCCTCACAACCGCAAATTGTCACACCAACATCCCCTCACACCAACATCCCCTCACACCAACACCCCCTCACAGTGTTCTCAGGTTCACGAGGCGAGAGAAGGCCCTCGGGATTGCCTTGTCCCACCGGTTCTTGCTCAGAATCCTGAGGAGCGTGAGGAAGTTTGGGAAAAGGGAGAGGGAAGGGGGAGTTTGATGTAAAGTCACAAAGGTTCGGCACAAAGTGCTGGTCAGTCACAGGAAACGGGAGGGGGAAGGTTCATTGCCTCTTCACAGATCAGTCAGCTTGGTCAGATAGCCTAGGAAGAGGCAATGATGTGCAATGGTTCAGCACAAAGTGCTGGCGCTGCGTATGTTTTTTGAGAATTCTAAAAAAACACAAAGTGCTGGTGCTCTGGCTCAGTCACACTCGTTCTAGTCTTAGACACTCACAGATCAGTCAGCTTGGTCAGATGCCTAGGAAGAGGCAATGATGTGCAATGGGTGGCCTAGGTACCCATGTTGTATCATGAAAGCGTATCCTTTCATTAGATTTGTTTAGAATCCCAAAAAACCCGCATTCAGCCATGTTATAGCAAGACAGGCTAGCAATGAGACACCTGATATGGTGATTCTTATACAGTACCTCTCTCACTATAACCGCCTCCTTCTCTGCAACTCTCACTATAACCACTGCCGTTACTGCAACTCTCGTTGCAGTCACTTACAGCTCTGTGAGTGCAGTGAGGCTCCCAAGCAAGTCCGGAATGGGCCCTGTGAACTCATTGCCCCACAGATTGCTGGCGGAAGTAGGTGAGGGGTGGGGCGGGAAGTAAGAGGGGAGGAGGAGGTGGAAATCGGTACAAAGGGGTTTGAGGGAAGGATTGAGGCTTCCAAGGAAGTCCGGAATGGGCCCTGCGAACTCATTGCCCCACAGGTTGCTGGTTGGGGTGGGCAAGGGGAGAGGGGAGAGGGAGGAGAAGGTGAAGGGAAGGCAAGCATTGAGGGAGGGGGAGGGAGGCCGGTACCGAGGGGATTGGGGGGAGGGGGTTTAAAAGGCTTCCAAGGAAGTCCGGAATGGGCCCTGCGAACTCATTGCCCCACAGGTTTCTGGCGGAGGTGGGCACGTGGGGTTGGGAGAGATGGAGGGAAGGAGGAGGTGGAACTCGGTACAGAGGGGTTTGGGTTAAGGCTTGAGACTCCCAAGGAAGTCCGGAATGGGGCCCTGCGAAATCATTGCTGCCTCACAAATTGCTGCTGGGGTGGGGTGGGGGTACGCACACAAAGGGTGGGGGTGGGATTGTGGGAGAGGAAGAGAAGTTGGCTGCAGTGGGGTGGGGTTGAAATATGAAAAGAAAAGAAGGTGGCTGTGAGAATGGCAAGTGGGCGCGACGATATGTGAAAAACAAATAGCGGCAGCAGCGGGAGAGGCACTGAGAGAGGGACTTGACACTGTAGAGGGTAAGACATGGAAGCAACGCAATGGAAGTGCCAGCGGAGTGGCAGGAGGGGCCACTGACAGGGCTTGGAGAGCCTTGGGAGTCGCGAGCTGCAAGGGCAGCAGGCTGCTCTGCTCTGATGACTTTCCAGAAGACCAGTGGGTCTTCCCTAATTGCAGAAGTTCTGGGGATTCGCACGAGTGATTTGTGTTGACCCATAATGACCCGGAGTCGACTCAACAACAACATGACCTTTGAGAGGCACTGACAGGGATTGAAGCGCCTTGAGATTCGTGAGCTGCGACGGCAGAGGGCTCCCCAGGCCGTTGCCCTCCTCCTCCTCCTCTCCTGATCCTGAGATGTCCCTGGGGAAGTGAGGCGAGGGAGAGAGTGAGGGTAGAGAGGAGGAAATACACCGTGGGAAGGTCTCAGGAGACATAGAGCGGGGAGAAAGCAGGAAACATGTGGGAGAGAGAGCAGGAAAAAACACAGAAAGCAGGAGAGGCTTACAGGTATGCGAGGTTGGAAAGGCCCCCAAAGGACGGTGGCACTTGGCCGGTGTAGAAGTTGTTGCTTATGCCGCTGGGAGTGGAGAGGAGGGGAGAGGACGTTTTCCGTGAGACCTCTCAAGAGTCAATACACAATTCTTTCACGAAACGTCCAAACGATGGGGGGAGGTTTGGAGAGGGGGGAAGGGCTATGGATGAAAAGCGAGCGAGGTGAGTGCATGGGGTGTGAGGGCATGGGGTGTGAGGGCATGGGGTGTGAGAACATGGGGTGTGAGATCATAGGGTGTGAGATCATGGGGTGTGAGATCATGGGGTGTGAGATCATGGGGTGTGAGAGCATGGGGTGTGAGATCATGGCGAATGAGTGGATGGGGTATGAGTGGTGGTGGTACCACAACGCACAGGAAGGTGAGCGATTTGATTCTTCCGAGAAAGGCGGGGATGACCCCTCCGATGCGACACCCGCTCAGGTCGCTGGGGGGCAAACAACAGGGGCGGAAGCAGGGGCGTGGAGAGTGAAGGCACTTTCTCAGCCTGCAGAGGCGGGAATGGAACCTCCGATGCGACACCCGTTCAGGTTGCTGAGAGCAATGGGCCGGAAGCAGGGGCGTGGAGAGCGGAAGTAATGGGAGTGGAGGGTGAAAAGAAGAGGCGTACAAGAAAGGTTGCGAGAGACCCAGCAGCTTTCCCGGATTGAGTTTGAGAATTGAATGTACACGCATACAAGAGGGGGGGAGCTGTCAGTGACGGACAGGTGGGCTGCGGAGGCCTTACTTCCATCAACTCGTACACGCATACAAGAGCGGGGGATCATACACGCATAGAGAAGAGGGGCGGGCGTACAGGTGTTTGAGTGCTGTCATGGCTGTGAGCGACGCTGGGAGCTTGCCGATCTTAATGTTGCGGCTCAGGTCCCTGCGGGATGGGAAGAATGGGGGAGAGATGGGGAGATCGGCGAGGCAGGCAGGAGCTTAGTTAGGGGAAGCGAGGCAAGCGGCATGGCATGGCTTGAGATGGCATGGCATGGCATGGCACTGCACGGCACGGCACGCCACTGTACGGCACGTCACGGCACGGCACGGCACGGCACGGCACGGCACGGCACGGCACGGCACGGCACGGCTTGGGATGGCATGGCATGGCATGGCATGGCACGACACAGCAAGGCACGGCACGGCATGGCATGGCACGGCACGGCACGGCACTGCATGGCTCGGCATGGCATGGCATGGCATGGCATGGCACTGCATGGCTCGGCATGGCACGGCACGGCATGGCACGGCATGGCACGGCACGGCATGGCACGGCACGGCATGGCATGGCATGGCATGGCATGTCACGGCACGGCATGGCATGGCATGGCATGGCATGGCACGGCATGTCATGGGTGCATAAGCCTACAGAAAACGCAGGTTGGGCAGTTTGGTGACGTCAGCAATGGATCCCGTGATGATGTTGTAGGGCAGCGATCTGAGGAAGAAGGATGGGCGGGGCGGAGGGGAGAGGGCCGATGGGAGTGGGGCCGAAAAGGGGGGCGAAAGGGGGGACGATGAGGGGTGACGGGATGGATCCCGTGATGATGTTGTAGGGCAGCGATCTGGGGAGAGGGGCGGGAGGGGCGGAGGGGCGACGGGGGTGAATGGATGGATGGGCAGGACAGGGTGGGGGCGAGGGGTGAGGGGCGATCGGCGAGGGGCGAGGGGGTGGGGGTGAAAGTTGTTAGAGGGCCCTACGACAGCAAGGGCCCTCGATGAGGTCGGCGCCTAACGACTGAGTCTACTCGGCACCGACGCACGAGTTCGGTGGCGGTCATTAGTGACTACGGGTGACTGTGAGCTACTGCAGCGAACTCGGCGGAATCGGTGCTAGGAATGACGAGTCTTGGGGGTCGTAGGTGCCTTGCTTGTGAGGCACGCTGCTCACTTGCTGTGTTGGCAGGAGTAGCGTGCACGGTGAGACATTCCGGTGCCGAGTTGGGTTGGAAATGTGCGGGGCGCGTTCACCCACCTGCACAGCACTTTCGTGTGGGTTGGGTTACTCGCAGCGCCACGCAACAATTGTGCAACTCTTGCTTGCCTATATATGTTTGTGTTTGCTTGTGTGTTTGATAATTGATATTGCAATTCTACTTGGCCCAAATGCTACTTCAATTCTCACAAAGTCCTTAGAGGCAAACGCTACCAAAACTCTACCAAGTTGCTGGCGCAACATCATTCCCATAGCAGAGACTCTCTCGCTATCGCTACGCTCTCTAATATATTCCTTCATGGTGCGGTGAGCGTGGAACGAACACGCATAGATTTCCGTCGTCGTTGATATTCGCGTTCGTATACTCGCCTTGGCGTGCGGCGTTAGTGAAGGGCGCTTATTAATCTAAGTTGAACCTCTCTTGATTTCCCTCCAGTTACGTTCTCGGACCCAAGGATAGGGCGTTTGGTAATTTATTACCACTCGTCTGAGGACCCTTGTGAGGTGACCCCGAGACGAGGGATTTAAGGAAGGGGCACTTTATTTTAATTTGTGGTACCTTATAGAGACGTCGTAGAGGATGAGTACAGAGGAGGCGAACGTGGAGGCCGGTAATTTGCGCGCCCTAGAGGAGGATCTCGTGGCTCGTCATTCTCGTGGTGAGATTAGTGATATCGAATACGAGCTAATGTTGGAGGGATTGCGCTCGCGACGGCGTCGTGAGCACCCTTCGCCACGTGTAGAGAATGTTGAGCAAGTTGCGGGAGGTACTAGTGCGTGGGATATGGCTGTCGATGGCGGAAATAGCGATGACGAGGAGTTTGATGGGTTGATGTCGTGTGGGGTCCTGCGAGGACCAACTCGGTTTAGTACGGCTAGCGTTGGCGGTGTACAGGAGCGTGTTCATCGTGCAGCAGCGTCACGAGAGCATGCGAATGTAGGACGGCGGAGCGTTGCTGGAGGAGGAATTGCGGAAGAGTTCGATAGTGAGGCTATGCCGGGCGTTACCCCGATTGGATCGATGTCGAGGGACGAGGGAATAGCCCCCAACTATGGCTACTTCAGATTCACTCCAGACAAGATCGTTGTCACTAGGCCGTTAGAAGGACGTCACGACCTGTCGACGTGGACAGAATCAATCGAGCCGCAGCTTGAGATCGCTCAGCTAAAGCGATTCATAGATGGCACCACCCCCATTCCACCAGCGCGTGCGCTTGCGCATCTCTCTCAGTTCCGCGCGATGCAGTTGCTGACATTCACCACCATTTCCCGATGCTGCTCCCCAACCGTACAGATCGCCCTTAAGGCGTGTCGCATGAAGGTCGATGCCGGCTATCAGGCATGGCAGTTTATTATGCGCACGTACATGGCGAAGGACGATCTGTACATCGGTCAGTTAGAGCAGGCGCTCACTAACCTCGAGATGGGAGAGCACGAGTCCGCTACGTCCTATTGCAACCGTGCGCAGCAGATCCTAGTGAACCTGAGGATGGCCGGCGTAGATTACTCGCAGGCGTCGTACATCACTCACGTTGTGAAGGGGTTGCCGCAGCAGTACAACCTCTTACGCAGGATGCTGAAGTTGCCGCAGGTTCGCAAGGAGTTGGACGAGGACACCCTCGCTAGCTACATCATCGAGGAGGAGTGTACGCTGGCGGTAGAGGGACGAAAGGACCAATTTCTTCCCCAGGCTAACCAGGTCTTTACCAAGAAGGGTAAGCCCCAATTCCAGCAGACTTCATTCCCTTCCCCTCCCACTACGGCACAGCAGCAGCAGCCTAAGAATGGGGGTGGGCTTGGTGGGGGAGGGGAGAAGTGGAAAGGGGGTAAGGATGGCCAGCCGAAGGGGGGGAAAGGGGGCTTCAAGGGGAAGTGCTATGTGTGTGGACAAATAGGGCATGTTGCTAAGTACTGTCAGCAGCGGGCGGATAAGGAGGCAGACACCGGTGGAGAGGGTTCTGGAGGTAGCAGCGGAAAGGGGGGTGATGGCTCTAAGGGGAGCGGGCAGTCATCATGTGCGATGGTGAAGCCAGTTGTGGAGCAGACTCCTCTCGTTGTGCTAGAGCCTGAGGCCGGGGAGGGCTTACAGGCTGTTGCAGCTGCTGTGAAGGCGAACCCGAGCGTCGTGCTGCTTGATAGCGGATGCTCCCACCATCTCATGGGAGATCGTTCTGCCTTTGTGGAGATGAGCAGCGGCGGCAGCATTAAGCAGGTTACCGGCTTCAACGGCGCCCTTCAGGAGGTGCAGGGGCGAGGCACAGTCGCTCTTCTTGGGGAGGGGGGCAGGCGTGTCTTGGTGCCGGACGTGCTGTACGTACCAGGAGTGCAGGCGAGTCTTCTCTCTGCTGGGCAGCTGCGTGATAGTGGTGTGCAGCTGCTGGATGCCGGGGATGTGACTTTGCTGCGGGCACCAGATGGATCGCTCCTTGGTCGTGCGGAGTTCAAGGGGCGTGTTCTCTGCACGAACTTCCAGCCGTGTTCGACGCAGCAGCAGGAAGGCGAAACGGTGGCACTTCGTACCTTGGCGACCGGCGTACGGTCTAAGGGGGACCTGTGGCATGCGCGTATGGCACACGTTGGTATTGATGCCATCGAGCGCACAGCGGCTCACGGGTCAGTGAAGAACTTGGATTTGGAGAAGGGGGGCAAGTCAGGCATACCTTGTGTCTCCTGTGTTGGGGGAAAGATCACTCGTCATACCTTTCCTTCTGTGGGAGAGGAGGAGGATGAGTTGCTCGGGGCGGTGCATGCTGACCTGTGTGGCCCTTTCCGTGAAGCAGCTAAGGATGGCAGCCGCTACTTCTTGGTGCTGAAGGTTCGCAAGACGCGATATGTCTGGGCCTACCCTTTGGCCCAGAAGAGTGATGCGCTGGCGGCGTTCCAGAAGTGGCTCCCGATGGCAGAGCGACAGTGCAAGTCCACGGTGCAGGCGCTGCGCACTGATCGGGGTGGCGAGTTCCTGGGGCACGACTTCACGCTCTTCCTCGACGGTAAAGGCATCATCCATGACCCCACATGCCCGTACACGCCGGAGCAGAACGGGATGGCCGAGAGGGAGATGCGCAGCATTGTGGAGGCGGTGCGGACGATGTTGCTGCACATGGGTGTGCAGCATCACTGGTGGCACCTGGCGTTGGCTCAGGCCGTCTGGGTGCGCAACCGCGTGGAGCACGCCTCACTACCCTCTGGTGTGACGCCGTACGAGCTCGCCTTCCGACGCAAACCTGATGTCAGTATGGTGCGTGTTTGGGGCTGCATGCTGCAGTACATGGTACCACAGTCGCAGCGTGGGGGGAAGCTGGCGCCCAAGGCTCGCTGGGGGTTGCACTTGGGTGTGTCAGCTGCGAGCAAGGGCTGGGCCGTGCTGGACTTGGAGTCCAACCGCCTCATCACCACTGTGGAAGCTGTGTTCTATGAGACCATGTCCCTAGCAGGATGGAAGGCTTGGCATCAGCAGGAGCATGGGGGGCGTTCGATGCCCTATGAGCCCCTTCCCTCACTCTTCCCGATCACTCTCGAGGAGGCGGAGGAGGAGGAGGAGGTGGTCGCACCTCCTGCTATGCCCTATGTCCCTACCTCGGTCCCCACCCCACCTCCGCCTTCAGTCTACCCTCGTGTGATTCCCCCTGCCCCGCCTTTTTCCTCCTCACCCCCCTTGGCTTCCCCTCCTCCTCCTGTTATTCCATCTCCCCTTCCACCCTCCATCCCTCCTGCACCTGCTCCGCCCTCTTCTTCGTCTTCCACGGCGCCGCCCGTTGGTGAGGGGGGGATGGAGGTGCCACCGTCTGTGGAGATCACCGACGGGCAGCGCCTTGAGACTGAGCAGCTGCAGGACGAGAGCAGTATGGATGGAGTACAGCAGAGTGGGGGGCAGGAGACAGGGGAGCAGCAGACA